ACACCGTGTGTATACTCGGCGGCGTGTGCGCTCAGTGTCCACCTGCAGTTTCCGCTGCTGTACAGCAGTCGGCGCTGTATCACTACACAAGTGCAGCAAAGTAACTTGCGGCGTGTATGGTGCGGGTTGACGTGGGCCCTGGTGGCAAGGAATGAAACGGAAGGCCCTGTCCAATTCTCTGCTCCCTCCCTTTATTGTCTGGTGCTTGAACCCCCACACCACCAGCCCATGGACCCCGTAGCTATCCAGGGTGCACCGCCTGCACCCTGGATAGCTACGCCACTGAATGTAACGGCCCCTCTTGTAGGAGTGGTTGGTACTCGATCTAGACACGTGTCATGCATGGTGAGTTGTGCTGCTGCCCTCAAAGCCAGATGTGAAAAATTGGGGCACATTCCTTGACTTTAATTTTAAAACAAAGAGATGGCATTAGAAAATACATTCAAATTACTGGCATATGAATGTAATGTAGATACAAATTAGCAATTAATTGTGTCTCGTGTAACTAACCTAAATTATTTTGAGGTGTTTAATTTAAATAACAATTACAACTTACAAATGTAAATGACATTACATATTTGCGTACACATGTCACTACGTTACTGCCCATCTCCACGTGCCGAAAAATCAAGAAGCAATGCAAATAGATTGATACCACGAGCCTCATGCATGCTGTGTGCAGTCCTTCAAAACGTGAAGGGTCAAGACCTCGGCTGCCACACGACCAAGACACCCCCCATCCCCGCTCCGTGTGAGTTGGGCGGCAGCTGATTTCGTTTCACAATACGGAAGACAGAGATGTATTGCGGTGGTGCTTGCAACGGTTCAAGAACATTGGCCAAAACGCGAGTTGGCGTTGCGTGTATTTTTTTTATCCGCAAGAATTCTGAGTGTGTCAGACCACGAGGCTAACGCCCAGGGGAAGCGTGCACTTCACACTTCAGGGCACCACGGTGGCGAGATGCCAACTACCTTGCCAAGTATGCATGGGTTCGATTGCAACCCTGACACTGGTATATATTTGGAGTTTGCATGTTCTCCTCGTGGTCGCGTGGGTTTTTTCCCGGGTTATCCGGTTTTTCCCTTCACATTTAGAAACATGCTGATATATGTCCACATTGAAAAGCCACTTAGTTGATTTATTATTTGTGGCCAGTGGGCCTTCCCTGGTAAAATGAAAACAATAGTTTATAGTTTAGTTTTTAAAAGAGATTATTAGCTCAATGGGCTTTACTTGGGAAATAAACTTCTGATTATGATAAGAGTGGATATTTAGAGTTGTAGACTGAACCCTACGCCATGAGGCCCGATTTGAATGGCATTTTAAAGATGATTCCTGATGGAAGTTTTTAAACTGGCATAACTGTAGTTGTCTTTTTGCGTACTGTATATATAATGTTGCTCTGCTTTGCACGTGACTTCGTTGCTTTTAGTATAAAATCGGCTACATCCTACATGTTGATCTGCGTTCACCATCTTCCCAGTAAACCATTTGAATCATTGGACCAACGTTGGGCCAACGTTCTGTGTTTACTAGGTTTGTAGTTAAAGTTCTTGATTTTGCCCAGTTAGCTTTGCTTTGTGTTTTTTTTTGGCTTTCAGCAGTCAATTAGATCATATCTGACGATGATGATGGGTAATGACAACCAAAACAACTTTCAGACCTTTGTTAGGCCACTGCTTTGAGGAAGGCAGCCCCACGCTGTGTAGACCACATGGGTTCATCTTCTTTGGTTCTTTCGGTAAAGTCACGTAGAATGAGAATAAAATAAGAAATTGATAAAATAACACAATAAAAAATTCTCACGACGTTTCGGCCACAACACAAGCGGTCTTCATCAGGTGAAGGGAGACAGACAGTCTCGTCCCTTCACCTGATGAAGGCCGCTTGTGTTGTGGCGAAACGTCGTGAGATTTTTATTGTGTTATTTTATTTTATCAATTTATTATTTTATTCTCATTCTACGTGACTTTACCGAAAGAACCAAAGAAGATGAATCCTTGCAGTCACGAAAGCTTTAAATCGAAATTTAACCACATGGGTTGTTTGACCATAACGTCACCAAGGTGTAAATCCACAACTCCGTCCTCATTTTCTATCAAAGGAAAAGGTACGATTCTCCACATGCGTTTAGACTATTTGTCTGCTATACATTTCCACATAAGCCAGTTCGCAGGGTTATCATGTGGCCAGGTCGCTTCTGAAAAAGAGCTATATAGCTAAGTGGGCCCTACCTGTGCAGTGTTCTAAACTCGAGACACTAGTTGGAGGTACTCTCTCTTTATTTCCGGCCTTCACAGCCTTCGTGGATAACTCCATACCGGGTCGGGACAGCCAGCATGCTGCCAGACCGAGGGCTTGCAGAGCGGAGAAGATCATCGCCGCACCCCCGACCGTGAGTGGGAGCTCGCCTTATATCCTGAACAGCGTGGCCAGCCTCCGCCCTCGGCCCCGCACCCTCTGGATCCCCCAGATTGCTTCGTGCCTTGCCCTCAGGTGCAACTGCTAGAACGGGGGCTGCTACCCATAATCCCAGTTGTCTACCAATCCCCCAGCGGCACGCGCTCCAGTGACTCATTCCACGTCACTACACCTGGTAAAATAACAATAATAATGGTGGCAGGAGCGGCTTGCTTGGTGCAGATGCTGCCTGAATTTAATTTCAGGAGAATATTAATTTCACAGCAACAGCTGCTGTTTGGATAGCATGCTGAAGTGCGTTGGCATTTTTCCTCCAAAAGGTACAGGAACTCAGGCCACCTGCAACTCAGATTTCATGACCCGTGATTGTGGCCGGGTGTATAAACGTTCTACTTAATTAGACTTTTTTAAATAAATGTTTTCTCCTACAACATCAGAGTGCAGCGCCACATTAAATACGCACTACAATGACAATAGTTGAAAGCGATTTGAAGCATGTTTAATATAAAAAAAATTTGGGGGGGGGTCGGCGGCAGAGCTTTGTGACGTCATATTTGAGGGGGGGGGGGGTCTGACTTTTTGTGACGCCGTGTGACTAGAGGGGGGGGGGGGGGTAAAAAATCGTCCAAAATCGCGTGACGTAATTTATGGACGGCCCCTTAGTACGTGTGTTTAACTTCTTTCGCACCGTGCTTAGGCAACCGTGCGAGTCGGAGGTGCCCGGTAAGGTCAAACTAAACACGAACGAGCAGCTCTAAAAGAAACGAGTTTTCCATCTCAACGACTTAAAAGTGCATCGCTCCCAGTGGCTTTCTAACACCGGGAAACAAGAGCGTTCCAGACGGCCGCAGAAGCGCATCTGCAGACGCCGCGCGCGATGATGCGGTGACCACCGCCTTTGTCCGATGGCTTCATCTCGCTAAGCGCAAGCACCACCACCTGCACCACCCATCGCAAAACGCAACCGGAACGATAAGCGTGGGTTAAATGTCCTCTCCTACCCCGCCAATGGAATTTCCCCGCACGCCCTCTGCTGCTACCTTTCCTCCCCGACTCTTAACGTCTCTCATTTAAAGACACAGCACGCACACGCTTCTTGTGCGACTATAATTGTGTGCGTGTGTGGGAGGGAGGGTTTTTTATTATCCATCACTGGGAAATACCCCGCCAGTGGGAGAGTGTTGGTTGAGTCTGCCGTGCGTGGGAAATCCCTCACCCGTCTAGCCCCGCCCACTCCCCCCCGTCCCGCCCCCCCACCCGTCTAGCCCCTCCCACCCGTCTAGCCCCTCCCACTTCCCTCCGTCAGCAGACCCACGCTTTTTTGCACCATCCCCCCCACTCTTCTAGCCCCGCCCACTTCCCCCCGTCCAACCCCCCCACCCTTCTAGCCCCGCCCACTCCCCCCCGTCCAACCCCCCCCACCCTTCTAGCCCCGCCCACTCCCCCCTGTCCAGCATCATCCACACAACGCTACCCACCCCCGACTCCCCCCTCTCTTGCCCCCATATAGCCTCTTACCACGATATCTCTCACACTTCAGCTAAAAAAAAACATTCTTGCTGTAGTTCTCACACCTGATGAAGATTGCTTGTGTTGCAATCGAAACGTCGTGATTCAATTTATTTCATATTTTTTATACCTACGTGAATTTACCAAAAGAACCAAGGGTATGGAACCCAGAGGGACCTCACACGTGGCGGTGACGATGACCACGTAACCACCACCAGCAACCGCGGCGCTCGTGCCAGGCTAGGTGCACATGGAGGCCTCCACCGAAGGCTCTCTCTCTCTCTGGGTCAGCAGAGAGGCGTTGTTTGTGAGCGTCGCTCCTCCGTTGTTGTTTCAGTATTAATTTATTAGGTAATAACCCTGTGAGCCATGCGGCTCTTGATTCGGGTGCAAAACGCAACAAAACAAAAACATGAACAAAGAAACATCTTAAAACTGACTACACGCAACAGAAAAATCCTGGAAAAAACAGCAATCCTGGGGAAAAACCCCAACAGACTACTGGGTAGTTTAACACGTAGGCTTTCGCGACCAATATCATCATCTATAATAGAGATTGGCTGTGTCGGGTGGTGGCGGGTTATAACGACACATTTATATATATTTATATATTGGGTGCAAGTGCTGTTAGCCAGTAGCGGCAGCGCGTATGAAGGCCGGCACGGCACACTGGGAGATGGGTGGGTGGCCAGCAGACCGCCTTTGTTTTCCCCGGTAGCGATGTGGTTGGCGGCGGGGGGGGGGTAGAGACACGGGGACACAAGCCTGGCCCCCCACTGACAGACAAAACAACTTGGCCCGGATCACGCCACCCCCCAGGCCGATGAGCGCTATCGGTGCAGAGAGAGAGGCGCTCGTCATCGTCACCCAAACCCACCCGCCTACCTACCCAGCCACCTACCCACCTACTCGCCCAACTACTCGGCCACCTGCCCGCCCGCCCACCCACCAACCCACCCGCCCACCCACAAATCCACCCGCCCACCCATCTACCCGCCCACCTACCCGCCCAACTACTCGGCCACCCGCCCACTAATCCACCCGCCCACCCACCAACCCGCCCATCTACCCGCCCACCCCAGCACGCTGATGTCAGTTCCGCGAGCGACTTTTCCCGCAAAGCTTTGATGTAAATCCGCCTTGAGAGAGAGAGACAGAGATTGTCTCCCTCTCCAGTGGCGGCGGGAAGAGATCCCAGAGCAGCGAGAGAGACCTAGACGAGAGTTTGGGGTGAGTGGATGAACCTCAGCAGCGACATTTGTGTTGTGTTGTGTGCGTGTGGTTTTTTTCTAATTAAAAGAAGAAATGAAATGATACATTGTACGTGACCGATTCTGGCTGGACTCAGCAACGCGTAATGTTTATCGCCGCTGTTTGACTCCTATTCTTTTTGGGTTCAAATCGTTTTTTTTTTCTAAACGGACAATGTTTAAACACAAGGACCAGCGCGTCAGTGACGTTATCCACGTTATAAGTTACTCACGTTATAAGTTACTCACGTTATAAGTTACTCACGTCATAAGTTACCCACGTTATAAGTTACTCACGTTATAAGTTACTCACGTTATAAGTTATCCACGTTATAAGTTACTCACGTTATAAGTTACGCACGTTATGAGCCCCGTCAAGGACACTTTGTTTGGAATCGTCCCCGTGAGCTCGAGAGAGACACCGGGCCGATGTCGTCTCGCGTCGCGTGCGTGCTGGGCCACCGTTCCCGTAACGTGGCGACCTTCGTAGATGATGCTGCTCGCTCGCTCGCTAACACCACTTGCCCCGACAGCCCGTTACAGGCTACACGGGGGATCTTTATCTTTGTTTTCGCCACGCGTGTTTTCTCGGGGGGGGGGAGCGGTGGCGTTGCGGTTAGCGCCACGCTACGAACCCGGCCACCCCGGGCTCCGAATTCACGGCCAACACCAACAACACCACCCAGTGGCGATTATCAGCACCGGTCGTGGACCTGCCCGCACCCCCCCCCCCCCCCTAGGTCGGCTCGGCCTCAAAATTATTCCCCGTGCGCGATGTGTAGTAAACATCGCCACTGGGAGACAAAGGCGGCCGGGCGTGGTTGCTGGCTACCCACCACCCTCTCGTGCGCCGTGTCGGCCTTCATAGGTGTTCGCTAACAGCACTTGCCCCAGCAGTCTGTCACAGGCTACACGGGGCAACTTTATCTTTGTTTTCGCCACGCGTGTCTTCTCTGCTCGCCAGAGCCCTTTTCTAGGCTACACTTCGAATCGGGTCGACCGCCCCGGGCCCCGTGCTTAGTGGTGGGGGGCAGCTTCGACGTCACAGTGTGAGATGTAAAAACTTCCCCGGTTTGGTTTGAAGGCGTCGGGCTGGGTGGGAGAGAGGCCCCAACACCACCAATTTTGCCCCCAACACCACCGATTTTGCCCCCAACACCACCGATTTTGCCCCCAACACCACCGATTTTGCCCCCAACACCGCCGATTTTGCCCACAACACCACCGATTTTGCCACAACACCACCGATTTTGCCCACAACACCACCGATTTTGCCCCGCCTCTTCCACCGACGGACTGGTGGGGCCTTGTCTGCTGCAGTTGCTTCCTGGAAATGTTGTAAGCGTGAAATTCTCACCTTCCCTCCCCCCTTTCACGTCTCGAGATGCGTGGTTTTTTTGTGCGTTGGCCTTTTAACGTCGGCAAGTTCGCGTTGTGTTGTTCGCGCGGAATGTTGATTTTGAAGGCGATTTGCGACTCGCGGTTAACGCTCGCTCACTGTTGACAAATTGGTCGTAACGTCATCACGATTATAAGACGCTAAGGACGGTAACAAAAAAGCAACCTTTGTGGCCTTGAAAGGAACACAAATGTATGAAAGTCGACGTTTCTGAGAATGGCCCTTTTCGTCATGGCTCATAGGCCTGAGAGTCGCTCTTGGGGCGCCACGGTGGCTAGGAGATGTTAACTACCTCGCCTGGTATACAGGAGGTCGTGGGTTCGACCCTGACGCCTGCTGTATATTTGGAGTTTGTGTGTGTGTCTCTCTCTCATCATCATCACGATTTGCGAGATGTTAACTACCTCGCCTGGTATACAGGAGGTCGTGGGTTCGACCCTGACGCCTGCTGTATATTTGGAGTTTGTGTGTCTCTCATCATCATCACGATTTGCGAGATGTTAACTACCTCGCCTGGTATGCAGGAGGTCGTGGGTTTGACCCTGACGCCTGCTGAATATTTGGAGTTTGCGTGTCGCTCTCTCTCATCATCATCATCACGATTTGCGAGATGTTAACTACCTCGCCTGGTATGCAGGAGGTCGTGGGTTTGACCCTGACGCCTGCTGAATATTTGGAGTTTGCGTGTCGCTCTCTCTCATCATCATCATCACGGTGGCGAGATGTTAACTACCTCGCCTGGTATACTGGAGGTCGTGGGTTCGATCCCGTCCATGATGACGCCTGCTGTATATTTGGAGTTTGCATGTCTCTCTCTCTCCCCGTGGTCGCGTTTAGAAACATGCTGATATATGTCCACATTGATAAGCCACTTCGTTGAGTTATAATTTGTGGCCAGGTCGCTTCTGAAAATAGCTGTATAGCTCAGTGGCCCTTACCTGGTAAAATGAAAAAAAATAGTTTAGTTATAAAAGAGATTATTAGCTCAATGGGCTTTACTTGGGAAATAAACTTCTGATTATGATAAGAGTGGATATTGAGAGTTGTAGACTGAACCCTATGCCATGAGGCCCGATTTGAATGGCATTTTAAAGATGATTCCTGATGGAAGTTTTTAAACTGGCATAACTGTAATTGCCTTTTTACGTACTGTATATATAATGTTGCTCTGCTTTGCACGTGACTCCGTTGCTTAGAGTATAAAATCGGCTACATCCTATATGTTGATCTGCGTTCACCATCTTCCCAGTAAACTATTTGAATCATTGGACCAACGTTGGGCCAACGTTCCGTGTTTACTAGGTTTGTAGTTAACATTCTTGATTTTGCCCAGTTAGCTTTGCCATGTAATTGTTTTTTTTTGGCTTTCAGTAGTCAATTAGATCAATTCTGATGATGATGATGGGTACTGACAACCAAAACAGACCTTTGTTAGACCACTGCTCTGAGGAAGGCATCCCCACGGAGTGTAGACCACATGGGTTGTTTGACCATAACTTCACCAAGGTGTAAATCCACAATTCTGTCCTCATTTTCTATCAAAGGGAGACGTACGATTCTCCACATCAACTTAACATTAAATAACAGTTCACTATCGGCCTTGTGACCGGTTTTTTATCATTCAAATGTGTTTAAGCAGGCGGGGCCCTTGTTTAATCAGGCACAACTCCATGGCCCATTGTGTTTACTGGAAGATTTGGGGCTCTTACGGGGGCCTAAGTCCTGCGGAGGGTTTTGTGGACCTTCGGGCTCAAATTCTGACCTATGAAGCCTAACCTAACCGAAAATCTAAACTACTCTTAAGTTAGAAATTAATAGATAATACAATTAAGATTTGTTTTCATTTAAAAAAAACAACGTATTAACCATTCCTAATGCTCTAACATGTTAGAAATCAGTCGCCTCGTGCTATAAATTAATAGGAATAGTGTTAAGTATACAGTTTAGTACTAAACATACATTTTTTAAATCAAAATTGACACAAAGTAATTCTGATCAATCATTTTTTTTAACCTTGCCTTCTTCCTTCCTCTACTATGTTTCACAGTAGAATCATCACCGTTCAAACGTTTGTTCATAGTCATGTCGGGAAGATGCGTCGTAAATGAAGCCTCTGTCTTGAAATTGATCTATGGTGGCATTATATACACTATCGCAAATATGGGTCACAAATAAGACCTTCCTAAACCGGATACTGCCTGTAATATTTCCCAAATTTTAAATCAACATTTTTACTTGTGTAAAAAAAAACAAATGGAAACTATATTTGATTGAATATTCATGTTTTCACAAATGTTATGCTGCTAAAAAAATGGGCCTTTAAAAATAAATTGTGGACAAACAGTAACAGGCAAACTTGCACTTCCTCCATTATGGTATCAGAGATGAGAGATGATATAGTATGATGATGAGATTATGATACGTCTGGTTCTGCTGATGAGATTGCCATAGTAGAAACCACCTCCAGAGTTTTCTGGCTGGAAACCACACCGCTTCAGTAGGGCTTTGTAGGTGCATGGACGTGAGAGTTCATTTATTTTCACGTGGAGGAAACAAACCTTTGTTTATTATGAATACTATACCTTATTGTGGCTGTATACATAGTGGAGTATGGTTAAAAAAAACACCGGGTGGATATATCTCGAAGGTAAAATATCAAGACGAGGGATCACTGAAATTCACCGAAGCTATGGTGCTGCTTTGTAAAGAAAAAAACCCTCACATTCGACACTGTGCCTACGGAGAGAGGCCTTCATCCAGCAGTGGAGTGACATTCCAGTAAGATAATAGTTTACAAAATGAAAGTATGCCGGAAGGATAGTTGTTTAAGCTGTATTGCTCTGCTGTCAGTACAGTGTTAATGTACAGTGCAACATCCTTGTTGACTGGCTGCCACAACGTGAAGGACAGATACAGTCTTGTCCCTTCCTGTAGAGTCACGTTTACCTTGTGGATATTACAACCAAGCCTATTACAATTATAAACGGCAAGATAAGAATACTACAGTGATTATAGCAATCGTCACTTCTTTAGCGTTGTCAATAAGGCAGTTAAAAAAAATGTGCTTCATTGCTGCATTTCATTTTTATTTGATTTATTTTGCTTTTGTCATTTTGGTGAACCAGGTTTCATCTTGCAATGAGACTCATTCGTCCCGGATCTTGAGTCTTGGACCTGGGCTAAACAAATAAACTCGCACCAACAACATCTGAGATACGGGGAGGCGGTGGCGCTGTGGTTAGTGCGCACTGCACGATGGAGCCGGTGACCAGACTTAACGCTCAGCCATGGCCTGACATCAGTGGCGAGTGACATCTGAACAAGTCCCGAACCCCCTTTTTCCTTCGCTCGCTTGCATTGACCTATGCGGTGAAGTATGACCAAACAACCCAATGGCCACAGTGTGGCAAGGCCTTCATCCGGCAGTGTATTGACAAAAGCATGAAAGTAATTTTGTTTTAAGGTTACCTTGTTGTTTTTGTTGTGTGATGCAAAGTCCAGAAGGATGTTTTTGCACAGCCGTATATTCGGGTAAGCTGCTTAGAATTGAGAATTCACTTGATATGTCAGTGGGTGCTACATTATCGTAATATTGTAATACTATACATAACCGTGATATTCAACCATGGAAGCGTACAGTTGTTGGTGGGGTTTCATAACATCTAATGAGTCAATTTGCGTAACAGTAAATATTTACTAGATGCCGATATATAGTCGTATATAATCAGCTGCAAGTCATCGTATAAGTGGCGCATTATGACAACATTCTGGCCATAAAGGAGCAATGGGTGCTGCTAGATGAGACGCAGCCATAACGCTAGAGTTAAAATGCTCGACCTCCCCAGCGATTCAATGAATGGTCACGACTCAGGGCTGTGATTCTGATTGGATACTTCGTTTTGCCTCATATTAACCGTCTCATTTGATTTACTTTGTTTTACCACCTATGCTGTGTTTGCATGCATTTCATATGAGGCCTGTCAGTCGCGTATAATTAGCATCGATTTTAAGACATTGATCCACATATATGTCATTGATTTCATGTATCGTGAGCCTTAAGAGTCGATGTCAGTTGTCGAATTGATTTATCGTTAGACCCGGATTTAACTTGGTCCAGTGGCTTCCTGGTCATCCGCTTTCTGGACTGCCGTGTTTTGGCACTGGCGCTATCAGTCACGAGCATCAGGATTATGGCCACGATTGTTTCTGGTAGAATTCTTTTTGCGTGGGTGGTGTGGCCAATCCCACACCTGGCCGCCTCCGTCTCGCCTGCACACTGCACCGGGTACTCATTTAATGCCGAGTCGACCTAGTCGAGGCCCATGACCTGTTCTGATGTACACCGCTGATGTTGTCCGTGAGCGGTACAGCAATTGAATTCCATTCGCCGGGTTCATAGCGCGGTGCGCGCTAACCACTGCGTCACCGCTCCACCATCACAATAGCCCTCCCACACACACACACATGGGCCCACAGTCCAGTCTTGAATTCACAACTTTGACATTTCCATGGAATGTTTTGTCAGTAAGAGCTCTTGACGGTCTGCATTCCTCTAGGACATGTTTTCAAATGTGCTGCTCGCGATACTGCTATATTGGATAAGTTTCCCCGACATCAAGAAGCACGCTGTACAACCCGATAACACATCGTAGACCTTTACTGTTAATGATTATTTTAAGGTTTCTAAAAGAAGAATCAGTCTGCTCTAAGGTTGTTTTTACTTGACTCATGCTGATGCAACTTTAGCAGGGTGTCGTGACACATCAATGCCTCACTTGATATCGAGTCTTCGAGCGCACGAGTAAAGGCCATTGCACGGAACGTCGCCTATTGTGTACATCATTCCTTTTAAGACCACAGTGTTATTGATTAATATTGTCAAGTGTTTTTTTGTGGGGGGTGTGTGGGGGGGTTACAATCACCACTGTGTCGTGAGAACTGATTTCGTACAATCGAATCGCGTTCCTGACTCAGGACGATTTGTTCAATCGCCAAAAGAGTGAATCATTAAACGTCTGTTGAATATTTGCTCCATTCACTTGAAGACGTAGGGGAGATAATGTACTGTACTTGAATCAACATTGCTTTGTTTTTTTCATTCAAATGTGAGTTGAGACCGGCCTCCAAATTCCAATGTAAGAGATAATTGCACATCCCAAGGGCAAATATTTATTTGCGTGATGTATTCCAGGAATTGTATTGCAATTACCGTAGCAATAAGTATGATAAACTTAAATTTTGATTTAAAGCTTTCGTGACTGCAGTAATTCATATTCTTAGTTTTTTCGGTAAAGTCACGTTGAAGAGAAACAACAAAATAACAAAATATATATAAAACAAAAAAATTTCACGACGTTTCGACCATAACTCAAACGGTCATCATCAGGTGATGATGACCGTTTGAGTTATGGTCGACCACAGTGTTATATATATGTTTTATATATATTTTGTTATTTTGTTGTTTCTCTTCAACGTGACTTTACCGAAAAAACTAAGAATATGATAAACTTGTCCAGGAAAGCTTCTTAAGACATTGCCATTATTATGTATGTAGTGGATTAACACGCGCATACAGGGGGAAATGGTAAAGACGCGCGAGTTACGGACAGTGGGGTTATGTCGGGCCGGCCAGGTGTGGCGGCAAGAAACGGTGCGGTAATGACGGGCCAATTAAGCCAAGGAGCGATGTACGGCTGTGATTGGCTGGGGTTGTCAAAGACGAGGTGGCGTCGGAATGTCTGGGAATAAAGGGGACAAGTAACAGGTGCAGGGGGGCGCGGGGCGTCGGTGGCACGCGGACTAATTAATTGGTGGGTAATGAGAACGGGGATATATTCGGGAGACGGGAAGACAGAGGGGTGTTGTGGTTGGGACTGGCAGTGGAGCAGAGACAAGCAGAGACAAGGAGCGACTGAGAGTGATAGAGAGAAGCAGAGACAGAGTGGGACGGAGAGAGACAGAGCGAGAGATAGGGCGAGAGACAGAGCGAGAGGCAGGTAGAGAGACGGGTAGAGAGACGGGTAGAGAGACAGGTAGAGAGACAAGGAGAGAGACAAGGAGAGAGAGGGGGAGAGACAGGGAGAGGGACAGGGAGAGAGACAGAGCGAGAGACAGGGAGAGAGACAGAGCGAGAGGCAGGTAGAGAGACAGGTAGAGAGACAGGTATAGAGACAAGGAGAGAGACGGAGAGACAGGGAGAGGGACAGGGAGAGAGACAGAGACAGCGAGTGACGGAGAGAGACAGAGACAGCGAGTGACGGAGAGAGACAGGGACGGCGAGTGACGGAGAGAGACAGAGACAGTGAGTGACAGAGACAGCGAGTGACGGAGAGAGACAGTGGGAGACGGGAGGAAGCGGAGCGAGCGAGACGGGCGGAGCGCGGCGAGCGAGCTGCGGCAAACAGAGGAACTGTGAAGTTATAGACGGAATGTGGAAAGTTGTAATAAAAGTGGTGTCGGAGAAAATAATAAAAGATGTCCGCGTGAAGTCGACCACTACATGTATACTATACATGTTGTTTAACGAGATTGCGTATTCTTTAAAAATCCGATTTTAAACTTGTGATGCAATCGAAGAAAGATATATGAATGACGAAACAAATAACTTGGGCCCAACTTTTTTCCCTTTAACTTTTCAAAAAACAATCAATCAAAAGCACTCTGCTCCTGGTTGTTTGTCTTTTGCCGTTTCGTATTTTCATACAAATGTGCACCAACTTGTATTTGTAGTCGTGTTTTACCAATGGGTTATTTGGCACAGTATCAAACGTTTCGCTCTTAGCAGCTCCTGAAAAAGCCCCAAGCATGCTAGGGGGCTGTGCCACGTGTTGTTCGTGCTGAACAACACGTGTCGCCGTCAGACAGGGAAGTGTGCTGCGTGTGTGTGTGCATGCGCAGATGCACGCAACGTTTGTTCATATAAAAAAAAATGTTATTCGTGATGTTCCACAGACCGAATTGCTGAATTGGTGTGTTGCGCTATCAAGATTCCACGCCTTCCGCCTTCACGATGGCAGCGGCTCCTGCCTACGGTGAGGCTCGGATATTTTATAACGATTACGCAATAACATTACGTCATCGACACTGGTAACAAGCTTCTAGGTGCAGCCCTGCAATTAATTGCTCTACACTGCTGGGGGACCACGAGAAGGAGCCCTAGAAAGCCCCTCCGGGACGGTGTGTTGGCCCACACTTCCACTCTGGTTAGACAACCTTGAAGAGGTCGGACTAGCGACACTAAAACACGGTTTAAACCTTCCTCTGTGGGATACTCGAAATGTACTGCTGCTTAGACGAGGGCATTTAAAGATGGTCGCTGCATCGGGCGCTTTCAGATGCGCTTCTGCGGCCATCTGGAACGCTCTCCCGATATTACGAAACTACTGGAGCGATGCGCATTTTAAACCCAGATTGAGAATTAATTTCACGGTTGGCTTCGTACGCTGCGAAATAAGTTCAACATACATACGTGTGGACTAAAGAAACTTGACCAAATACAGCAACTTCCGTGCCAGGAGATAGATTTTAACCGGAGACCTCTTGATTGCAAGTCCAGCCAGCTGACCATTACGGCACGGCAGCATTCGATTGACACTGGACTTGTGAGAATATTTGCGCCGATTTTTAAAGGTCACCTTTTTATCACGGTGGGTGGATGACGACATTGCGAGAGACGGGAGAAGAGAGCGTGGCAACTTAACGCGAGGTTGGCGCTACGCGCCTGAGGTGTTTGCGTGGATTTTTGTGCAATGCGTCACTTTGTAACACAGTGCAGAATGCATTGTGTTCACTGGTTTGCTCTTACCCGGGCGAGGTTTAAGCTGGTGTCCAAGCTGCCTCCTCCGTTTGCTTCCTGCTAAAGAGTTTGTCACGTTGAATTGTCTGCGTGACGTTTGTGGTGGTTTGGACGGCTTGTGGGCACGTGTTGTGTAACTTACCGCTCAATCTGCCCAACTTGTGCTTTTGTGTTCCTTATATTTTGTTACGTTTTCTTTTTGTGGTCTGCTGGTTTATGTTTTATACGCTTGCTGTTGTGGACAGCATTTTGAGATGCTTCTAGCCTGTCAGGGTTGAAGTTATTTCCTGCTCAGCTGAGCATCAGTTGCCACTCATTGCCGAATAACAGCCCCGAAGGTAGTGGTATAAACTCCACATTCCTATGGCGCGGACGAGTTTAGATTGTACAACCCACTGTTGTATACTTTTCCATAAAGTGGTATATAATTCATGGGCCGAGATGACCCTTCTGTTGCAAGCCATGTGCACCGCTGCTGTGCGGCCTGGCTGCTTTCTAGCGCTGTATTTAGATGATACTCTACATGTATGTTTATGTTGAACTTCTTTCGCACCATACGCAGCCAACCGTGCTAATCGGAGGTGACTATATCATCCAGAATGCACCCAGTCTCATCAGATCTCGGAAGCTAAGCAGGTTTGAGCCTGGATAGCGCTTGGATGGGCGACCAGTGTGCATGACGAGGCTGCTGCGGGGCTATGTGGTGCGTCAAAATGCACCGTTGTACTTTACTTCTATGCTCCCACATCCATTCTCCCTGCCTTCACCAACTCGACGCTGAACAACGTGGTGAAGTATGGTCATACTTGTAGGAACCTCCTGGTTACACCAGCCCACAGGGGATTATTGTGTCCGGCCCTCCGTCGTGCATCCAGAAATGGGAGGGGTGGAGAGGGGAGGGTGGGGAGGGGCTGGGTGGGGAGGGTGGAGAGGGGAGGGTGGGGAGGGGCTGGGTGGGGAGGGTGGGGCTGGGTGGGGAGGGGCTGGGTGGGGAGGGAGGGAGGGGCTGGTCACCCCGTGGTGCCCTTATAAAACTCAACGTTTAACCTACTCACGCCGGCTTGTGCCCGCCCTCACAGTCGGGCATATGTGCGGAATACACCACGTGGTGCCGCCGTTGACCCTGGCCATTGACCGAGCAACCCAACGTCCCTACCAGCTCCCTCCGCATGAATGTGTTATCACCCTCCTGACCCACACTAAATGCTCCTCCATCCATCAGTGGATTGGCAAATATAGCGGTACATGCACAACTTGGAATTATAATTGAATATACAGCTGCCAGGTAGATTTATTGGGTCGAGGTCCAGAAAGACTTTAGCTTCCCTAGTGTCTTCAATGTAGCATGTACGGTTTTTGTTTAAAAAAAATGAAAACAGGAGCATTTGTTTAAGGCGAATGTACTGGATGATGTGGACAGAGTAAACTGTTTAAAGGGAAGCGAGAACGAGTTGCAAGTGGATTTTTTTAAAAACAATTTTCACGAGAGGTTGTTTTACTATTATTTTTATTTTGACGCTTGTTTGCTCAAGAGAGCCTCACTGGGGCCCAGGAGGGTCCTGCCAAGTTTGAGCAGCAGTATTGGTGACATCTATGTGTATAAGCGCAATTCAGTAATTTGCGGGTATTTATTCAGTATTGGAGTTGTTTTGGCCAATACCAGTTATGTTGCTTCACCTTTTGTTTAATCTCTGGGAAGTAACCAGAGACCTCGGAGGAAACCTATGCAGAACAGCGGGCGAAGGCACCCGAGTTGGGACTCGAACTTAGGGTATTCTTGCTGTGAGGCACGAGTGTTCCCCAATGCTCCACACTGTCGCCCAAAGTTGAAAGATAAACTAAACTGGTTTTGATTTTACCAGGTGAGGCCCACTGAGCTATATAGCTCTTTTTCAGAAGCGACCTGGTTCATTTGTGGCAAGCTCTTTGCGTCTAATGAGTGCAACCTTATAATATTAGGGACTTAAACCCATTGCAAACCGGCCACATTACTGACATGGCTACCCAAAACGTTAAGACACAAACCAGAGGTGAAAAAAATACGACAGTATTTGAAAATATGAAAGTGCATCTTGCCTCGTCGGCTTTCATACTGCCACTTAAAAAGATTTCCGAAGAAGACACTCACCTTTGAAAGAGTGTCACATTATCCATTCGTGTGCCGTGACCCATAGTGACGATTCACCTCCCACAGCAGCTGGATTGACACGATTTGGATAGCGGTTCAAATCAAGAATCGGTTCTGCCTCATTTTTTCCATCTCGTTTGTATTATTTCTAACTTTTGATTTAAAGCTTCCGTGACTGCAGTAATTCATATTCTTAGCTCTTTCGGTAAAGTCACGTTGAAGGGAAACAATAAAATAATAAAATATATATGAAACAATAAAAATTCTCACGACGTTTCGACCATAACACAAACGGTCGTCATCAGGTGTGAATATGATGACGACTGTTTGTGTTATGGTCGAAACGTCGTGAGAATTTTTGTTTTATATATATTTTATTATTTTATTGTTTCCCTTCAACGTGACTTTACCGAAAGAGCTAAGAATATTTCTAACTTTTTTTCCTGTCTTATATTACGTAAACTCTTTTTCATGGCAATAGCCTAACTATAGCCCTACCATTATTTGCCTATGATTGGCACAAATGGTAAATAATTGATTCTCATATGCATGTTCCGATGTATTTATGTATGTATGTATGGTGTGCACAATAATACATTTTAATAGACGAGTCGATGTATTATTCAACGTCCACCAATAGTGATATCTGCAAGCTCTGCGTAGCCTGGATTAAATCGTGAACACATGCTAGCCCTTTTAACACGGCGATTGGCTCGCGTCTCTTAAATCCTCGGGTACAGATCCAGACACCTGCATGTGATGATTCAAGTCGTTTCTCAAGTCTGGTGAGTTCATGGTCTCAGCCTGGTGACTGATGACTGCACAGAAAGACCACCGCATTAAGTTTGGCTCTACATGTAATTAGGCTAAATTCCAGCTCTGAGAAATTGAAAACAACAGTTTTGCTGTGGTGCGGTGATGAACATTACTTTCAGTGCCAGCGCGAGTAGGAAAGCGCCATCCACTACTCTGTGGACCAGAACAGGTCTCGGGGGAAGCTCTGTGACATCCACTTCCGTGGGCTGTTCTCTAACATGAGGGCTTATACTGCTCATTGAGAAAGAGAGAGAGAGAGATATCTGACTGCATACTGGATCTCGTGACATCACACCCGATAGCACTTGTTAGATAACATTCGCAAACAGATACAAACATATTTTAAAACAAGTTAAGACAAACGTAACAGTTGTCCTCATTTGTCTGTAAAAGTCATTAACTAGGAGTACGGAAGCTGATGGACAAGCAGCTGGCACAACAAAATATTACATAATTCTAAATAGTCCTTTCCGCTCTGGTTTGTGTTTAGAAGTTTTGGCCAAGAACACTTTTTTTAGATTAGGCCGATTTTTTTTTTATGGAGTAAGTCTCCGACAGCAACACAACTTTGTATTAAAGTTCAAGTGATATTGGAGCATCGTTATGAAAAAAGATAAAGTGCCCCCCTCACCCCCAACCCCCCGCTCATCAGGGATGGACGGAGTTCATCCTCGTGTTTAACCTCCGTTGGAAAGTGCGCCGTGTTGGCGAGATGTTAACTACCTTTCCTGGTATACAGGAGGTCGTGGTTTCGATCCCGACCCTGACCCGTGTGTATTTGGAGTTTGCGTGTCTCTCTCCGTGGTCGCGGGGATTTTTCTCCGAGTCCTTCAGTTTTTCCCCTCCACATTTAGAATCAACGTGCGATTTGGAGTATTTGTCTGCTATACATTTCCACGTGATAAACCGCTTCCTTGAGCTATCATTCGTGATAGCCAGGTCGCTATGGTGGGCCTTACCTGGTAAAACAAAAAAATAGTTACATTTTTCGTTTAGCTTTCTACTTTGGGTGACAGTGTGGAGCATTGGCAACACTCGTGCAAGAATGCCCTAGGTTCGAGTGCCAACTTGGGTGCCTTCTCCCGCTCTGTTTTTTTTGCATGGGTTTCCTCCGAGTTTCATAACTCAAGAGGCAACGTGTCGTGGCTGTCGAGAGCCTATAGTTTACGGTAAAAATAAAAAAGCGCTTCGCTGTGAACGTAGCGCAAGTGTCGCGGACGGCGAGCGTTTGCGTGACGCGGCGCTGCTCTTTTTTTTCAGGGCACTGGCCTGGAACCATGGGCCCCCTGAAGCGCTGGGTGCTGGAGTCGCACGAGAAGATCGTGGACGCCCTCTACAGCATCGACCACCTGCTCGACCGCCTCATCTCCAAGCTCGTGCTCACCGACGAAAATTACAACGAGGTGAGTTCGCCGGCTGCTCTCTTCGCTCGGGCCCCCCGCGTGATCCCGTGAACCGTCACGATTCGGGGGTTTGAATTGCCACAGGGCAGGGAATGTGTTTTTTGCCGTTGCGCGATGCACGCGTGACCCAGGTCTCCGTTGAACAAAATGGTTTTAGTCTTGGTGGGTTCTCGAAAAGGTAGAGCTCTTTTTTTTTGGACCCCGACTTAAAGCTCTTTTTTTTTGGGACCCCCACTTAAAAAGGGCCCGCACCCCCATACCATGTGGGTCATGTTGGTTATTTGATCCACTCTTGTCATTGAGGGAAAGGGTAAAGGGTGGGGTAGTGGGGGGAAGAGCATAACAGGGGAACATGGGACTACAGTCCAGTGTATAAGAATCGTTGTTCCTGCATGGCCTTGTGCTGCCCCAAACATATCTCTGCACCCCTGTGGCACCCGGCCTTGTGCACGGTGCTCGCCCATCCGAATGCTCCCCCTGGCTCAACCCCTGCTGAGTTTCCGAGATCTGCCGAGAGATATGGGGCACATTCGAAGCGATCTGATCTTAGAATAATAGGCACTTCACTTGTTCTTGAAAACATTAGTGCCGCCGATTGCCGTTGCACGCGAACGCCGCGATCGCCGCGACGATTTGAGTCGCGTTCGAACGGAGGCTGATAAAATGTGGAGAAGTGGATTGTGGCGGGGGGGGGGGGGAGCAATGGTGGAATGGATTTTGAGAAATGTCATCGGCGCGCCGTTCGCCTACGCCGCCCGCATCCGTGCCTCGCCCGCTCTTTCAGCAACCAAACCCACATGGGCTAGCGTCGTTTAGTCCGATCAAAATAGCCGCACGTTGCAGGGAGGCCCTCAATCCCGCATTGGATTGACAAAAGGGCTGTGCGCGTGCACGAGGAAGTGGTGGTCTTGAGCAACCTTTGCTCAGCTCCATTGCATTAGTGCCGTAGTTATTTTTAACCTGTAGCTGCCGTGCAGTTGGCCCAGCTATCGAGTGTGCAGGCGGTGTAACCGCACCAGGGCTGCACGTGCTGGAGGGGCCCGGGCACCGGGCAGCCATGAAGGAAAGGGAGAACATTTTTGTTGATAACTGCACTTGTACGTGGGTTGAACTTCTTTCACACCGTACATAGCCAACAGTGCTAATCGGAGGTGCGGGGGAAGGACAACAAGCTAAACACACAAACAGCATCATACGTTCATCTCTCTGCATAAACACATTTGCCCGCTGTGTCGCCGTTTATGGGGTGACTGTGTCGCAGCAACATTCGTATCAGATGGCAAACTGTAAAACCGGGATCGACGTCTGGGTCTCGTCAGCAGAGCCGGACGTGGTCTACCAATGCCAATGATGTGTGACCGATTTCCTGTTGTATCCGTTTTTCAATCTGCAAGCTTGGTTTGGTGTTGAGAACCGTCTGCGGTAATTGAGGGGCGGCGAGACAAGGTGCCAAATAAATGTAGCACGAATAATTTATCGACATCGGAGGCTTTTCTCACTTATGGCGGCGGGGGGGGGGGGGGGTGGTGGTGGTGGGGGGGGTGTGCGAGAGCCAGAGCGGAATGCACGATCAGACGGCAGAAGATCGTATCGTCACTCGTCCTGTTTCGCGTTGAACATACGTTTCTAGCTCGTCGTTTACGTCGGCCGTGTCGCCGAGTTTTGATACGTCCCACACCACGGGTTCACGGTTTCAACAAGGTCGCAGCTACAGGGTATCGCCACTGCCGTGCCCTCGGTCGTGGGCTCTGCGAAACCCGGGGGTGGCTGCCGGGGGGGGTGGGAGGGTTCTGTCTGTGAGACGCTTGCCCCATCTGTGAGACGCTTGCCCCATCTGTGAGACGCTTGCCCCATCTCGGTGGCAGGTGCGCGCGGAGCCCATCCCGACGAAGAAGGCGCGCAAGCTGCTGGAGATCGTGCGGCTGCAGTTCAGCGAGCAGCAGGTGGAGGTGTTCGTCGAGTGCCTCGCCAACAGCCAGACCGCCTACCCCAAGCTGCGGACACTGCTGCAGCATCGCCCGCAGCCAGGAGGTGCGCACCGCAACCCACCACGTGCGGCCCTCTGTCCGGCACCCTGTGTCTCTGTGTTGTCCGGCACCCTGTGTCTCTGTGTTGTCCGGCACCCTGTGTCTCTGTGTTGTCTGGCACCCTGTGTCTCTGTGTTGTCTGGCACCCTGTGTCTCTGTGTTGTCTGGCACCCTGTGTCTCTGTGTTGTCTGGCACCCTGTGTCTCTGTGTTGTCTGGCACCCTGTGTCTCTGTGTTGTCTGGCACCCTGTGTCTCTGTGTTGTCTGGCACCCTGTGTCTCTGTGTTGTCTGGCACCCTGTGTCTCTGTGTTGTCTGGCACCCTGTGTCTCTGTGTTGTCTGGCACCCTGTGTCTCTGTGTTGTCTGGCACCCTGTGTCTCTGTGTTGTCTGGCACCCTGTGTCTCTGTGTTGTCTGGCACCCTGTGTCTCTGTGTTGTCCGGCACCCTGTGTCTCTGTGTTGTCCGGCACCCTGTGTCTCTGTGTTGTCTGGCACCCTGTGTCTCTGTGTTGTCTGGCACCCTGTGTCTCTGTGTTGTCTGGCACCCTGTGTCTCTGTGTTGTCTGGCACCCTGTGTCTCTGTGTTGTCTGGCACCCTGTGTCTCTGTGTTGTCTGGCACCCTGTGTCTCTGTGTTGTCTGGCACCCTGTGTCTCTGTGTTGTCTGGCACCCTGTGTCTCTGTGTTGTCTGGCACCCTGTGTCTCTGTGTTGTCCGGCACCCTGTGTCTCTGTGTTGTCCGGCACCCTGTGTCTCTGTGTTGTCTGGCACCCTGTGTCTCTGTGTTGTCTGGCACCCTGTGTCTCTGTGTTGTCTGGCACCCTGTGTCTCTGTGTTGTCTGGCACCCTGTGTCTCTGTGTTGTCTGGCACCCTGTGTCTCTGTGTTGTCTGGCACCCTGTGTCTCTGTGTTGTCTGGCACCCTGTGTCTCTGTGTTGTCTGGCACCCTGTGTCTCTGTGTTGTCTGGCACCCTGTGTCTCTGTGTTGTCTGGCACCCTGTGTCTCTGTGTTGTCCGGCACCCTGTGTCTCTGTGTTGTCTGGCACCCTGTGTCTCTGTGTTGTCTGGCACCCTGTGTCTCTGTGTTGTCTGGCACCCTGTGTCTCTGTGTTGTCTGGCACCCTGTGTCTCTGTGTTGTCTGGCACCCTGTGTCTCTGTGTTGTCTGGCACCCTGTGTCTCTGTGTTGTCTGGCACCCTGTGTCTCTGTGTTGTCTGGCACCCTGTGTCTCTGTGTTGTCTGGCACCCTGTGTCTCTGTGTTGTCTGGCACCCTGTGCACGTCTCTGTGTTGTCCGGCACCCTGTGTCTCTGTGTTGTCTGGCACCCTGTGTCTCTGTGTTGTCTGGCACCCTGTGTCTCTGTGTTGTCTGGCACCCTGTGTCTCTGTGTTGTCTGGCACCCTGTGTCTCTGTGTTGTCTGGCACCCTGTGTCTCTGTGTTGTCTGGCACCCTGTGTCTCTGTGTTGTCTGGCACCCTGTGTCTCTGTGTTGTCCAGCACCCTGTGTCTCTGTGTTGTCCAGCACCCTGTGTCTCTGTGTTGTCTGGCACCCTGTGTCTCTGTGTTGTCTGGCACCCTGTGTCTCTGTGTTGTCTGGCACCCTGTGTCTCTGTGTTGCGCGCGTGGGGAGCGGCGGCGCGGCGGTTGGCGTGCCGAGCTACGAACCCGGCGGCCCGAGTTCGGTTCCCGCTCAAGGCCCAACACCCAGTGACAGCTATATCTAAACCGGTCATGGGACCCCCCTTGGTCGGCTCGGCCTTAAGTGAGTACCCGGTGCGATGTGTAAATGTCGCCACTGGGGAGGCAAAGGCGGCAGGGGCGTGGTGCTGGCCACCCACCCCCTCGTGTGCCGTGCCGGCCCTTCAGAGGTAGTTGCCCCAACAGGCAAGCACTTGCCCTCGCAGTCTGTTAAAGACTACATGGGGGATCTTTGTATTTGTCTCGCATCACACGGAGGGCACAAAGTCAAGTGCACTCTGTATTGACTGCGACGTGCACTGATTGTCAGAAACATCATCGAGTCTCGAAAATTATTGACATCGTTTTGTCAATCAGCCGCTGCATGAAGGCCCTCCCAGTCATTGAGGTTGCTGACCATACTTCACCGCGCTGGTCGGGCGAATATCAGATTTTTGCAACGACTTAAATTGTATTCAAAAGGTGGGTAAACGTGAAACTAGTTGGGACCATTTTGTTTGATATCGCGGTTACCCGAGCACAGGCCCACAACACCAAGTGGCCGGCAACAAACAGCACGATTAAAAACAACGGGTCGGTCGTAGAAGACGGGAGCTCGACACGATGACTTGCCGCTATCTTTAATCACTTCACCGCTGCCTTACGTCATTCGATTCGCGGTCACTCTGCTCATGGCGTCGTTTGGGAGTGCGCTTTAATATTTTCACGTGGTAATTTTTCATTTTCGTTTTGGGGAGAATATAAAGGGCACGGTGTGACTTTCCTGTGGGTGTTTTCTCGCATTCTGATTTGCTTTTTATTTCTAATTTTATTCTTCCAGATAAAAGATATTTCAACACAGGTATGTAGAAGACGGCATAACTCCAGATGTGCTTGCCTCACGGCTACTAACAAGGCGGAATTTATTTTCACATTCTAACGGCAAGCTCGCGTTGGCTATCGAAATAAGACTTTGCTTGAATACACTCTTCATTTTTGGTGCTCACTTAAATGTCGGTCGTCTTATGTTGCTTTCTTCTCTTTTCAGAGGTCAAAAGTTTCCCAACAGGTGAGAAAGAACACGTTATTCATTTTAACAAAAAATAAAGGATGATCAATGTATAGATATCCCCATTCAAATAATATGGAGAAAGCATCGTGATAGGATTTAAATATTATTTTTAGGATGCCGAGGGTAGTGGCGAGGCGATAAGAGATGCATCGTTTGTCTGTTCGTTTTATCGTTATTTTGTCCGTGTAATGAAGTGTGGACAAACGTGCACCGTCAGATGAATTTGTGCAGCCGCTCCTCTCGTCTACACAGAAATCTCGTGATAAAAGAATGCGTTTCACAGCCACTTTCCTCGACACTCAATACTCGGATGATAGCAAAGTAGGCACGCAGATAATATGGATTTGCCCCTGCTCGATTCCGGCGCACGGGCAACTAGACGAATGGATGATAGGTGAATGAATCGGGGGCATTTCACTGCAAGAGGCAAAGGTACAGCCCTGCAACTGCCTGCTCACGCCCCTACTGCTGGAAAGACCTCCACTCGCTGTAGAGTAGTACCCCCTCCTTGGAGGGTGATGTGACCCACTCGTACACGCTGGCCAGACGTCTCGGAAGACGTCGGGGGAGTACCGCAAACCGCACCCAATTCGTACCAGTGGATCGAAGAACCCTGTCCCGTTATTTCAGCGACCGCACCGCGAGATTTAACCGGCGAGCCCTCCGCGCTGACAACTCCCCCCCCCCTCCCCACCGCGTGCTTTTATCTCGTGCCGCCGCAGTGGAGAAGCTCCGCCGCCAGTCGAGCGAGCTGTGCCACCGTCTGGGCGACCTCACGGCGCCCATCACCGTGCAGCTCTTCGCCAACGAGCTGCTGGGCCAGGTGGAGAAGGAGCACGTGGAGAATGCCAACACGCCCTTTGACCGCTCCAAGAAGCTCATCGACGTGTGCCTGCGGCGCGGCGAGCCCGCCTGCTGCCTCTTCTACAAGGCCTTGCGCCACGAGGACCCCAACCTGGCCAGCGAAATGGGCGCCTTCGACGGTGAGGGCTGCCACCACCACCTCCCCACCCGGCGAGGTGTTAACGACCTCGCCTGGTATACAGGAGGTCGTGGGTTCGATCCCAACCCCTGACCCCTGTGTATTTGGAGTTTGCGTGTCTCTCTCTCTCTCTACCCCCGCGGCTGCGTGGGTTTTTCTCCGGGGCCTCCGGTTTTTCCCCTCCACTTTTAAAATCGACGTGCGTTTAGAGTATTTAGCTGCCGTAACTTTACAGGTGATAAGCCATTTCATTGGGCTATCATTTGTGGCCAGGTGGCTTCTGAAAAATGAGCTACTACAGCTCAGTGGGCACTTACCTGCTAAAATAAAAGTTTTTAGTCCACATTAGATAATTTTCTGAGACACCCCCTTAAAGTGTTGGAGTTTGCCGGTTTAAAAGGCAGCAATGCCACGTTGTAACGGCCGGCATGCCGGACGTGCAGTGCAAAGGTCGCCGGTTTGAGTGCATCTCTTGGCGTGGAAGGTGAAAAAATGGGCAAGTTCATTTGATGCGGGTGTTAATAACCATTTAAAAAAAAAACCCGCACCGCCCTCTTCAAAGTGGAGGTTAAAGATCCTGTGACGTCATTCGCAAGTGTTGTAGGCGATTATCGCCCCTCCCCACCCAACTTGAAAACTTGGCAGGACCCTCCTGAAAAAACCCAATAATAATCATCATACTGTGCGACACACTCTAACCGTCCATGTTACGTCAAGGATACCCTGTGATTGGGCCATGGCTACGGCCTTTGTTCAAGCTTGAAGGTCACAGGTGAAGGTGAAGAGGTCACCACTCCCAACCGCGAGACCTCTAAGGCTCGCTCCGGCAGGCTCTATCCGCTGCCATCTGGCTTCAGGGTCTTTAGGTTTCTCATCTGTGGGTGCTCATTTCAATGTTTACATCTGTGAGCTGTCCTCTTCCATCCTCTGCACCACTTATACGTTTCCACATGACGATGATGATAATTTACGATCAGTTGGATGGCTTCCATAGCACGCCTTATTGTGAAAACTACAACTTAAGGGAACTTCAAAACTACGGAAAAGAGATGGTAAACATGTTCGTCTGAAATTGCCTCTTGAAAGATTCGAGTGTTGCCGTGAGTCTAATGTCGGCAGGTGATGATGATAATGATGACGGTGATGTGGAAGCATGAATAGAATGATGATGATCTAAAAGCACAATGTGTATAGGATGGAGGGGGCTGCAGGTTACAGACGAATATGCTCGCACATACGATATCGACGTGCGAAACTTCGATGTTACCTTGGTCGTTCGCAAATTGCTGATGGTGTCATTTTGCCCTTCCAGTCGAGAACGTGACCTGCCTCTCTATCGAAACTACAGGTGTGTTGACACTTTCGCAGCGACGCACGCATCTTCAACCCGGCGCTTTGGAGGGCGAAGTAGATTTATAAAAAAAACAATCCCCATGCTTGGTCACATGTGACATGGCCAAGAGGCGGCAGTACGTTAAATTTGGGTTGAGTCTTGAAATCCACCTTTGCGGACTTTTTGAGTGTTATCCCCCCCCGCCCCCCCCCCCCCCCTTGTGTGTAGAATGATTCCTGGTACTCTGGTTTCCCTCCCACACGCAATGCACACAACGCTTCTGTATGCGACGATTGAGGGCCCATTGCCCGAGACGTTGCCTATGTTATGTCCCACTTAAGACGGTGTTGTTGTCGAATGTGTTGAGATTGTTGTCGTTTGTCCACCACTGACAACGCAGGATCCGCCAAATGACTTCTTAAAATGGCATTGGCCAAACACACCAATGCAGGACTTTCCTGAAAAAGGGAATTGAGGCTCGGTGCGGCTTCATTACGTTTGGGGTGAAGCTGGCGCAGCATAACGATAGGCCCGCTGGAATTGGCAATCCAGAGGTCGCCAAATCCATCTCCCAGTTAAAGCAATGGGAACATATCTTAAATCTTATCTTACAAAGATTAATCTAGCACCTTCAATGCACGGCGCCTTTATACCAGTGTTAAGATTGTACACGAGATGATAGTGGTTGAAATAAAGATAGTGGTTATTAACTGGTGTTGTAGTTATGGTGACAGAATAGATGGGAGTGGTTAAGGAGGGGGGGTAGTGATAAGGGTTGGAGTAGGCCTGGTCGTAGCTGGGGAGAGGGAGTAGCAGTCGCAGGATGGGCTAGAGAGAAGAGATAGGGGGTTGTTTTAAGGGAGCAACAGAAGCAGGTTGGTGAAGATGATGTCCACCTCGCAGTATAAATGTGTACACGACGGTTAGCCGCGTGTGGTGCGGTAAAACGACGATACTCTTACCTCTTAAAAGATGTCTTGGCGAGCAGCAAAGAGTATGGAGGGATCTCTAGAACTCTAACGAGTGGGGCAACTCCCAACGAGCAGGCAAGCAATTGGGAAGGGCTACACTTTTGCCATCTTTCAATTTAAACGCTGTTGGTATTGTCCATGCACTTTGATTTTATTGTTGCACCAAGTGCACTTGATGTTCGTCATTGTGAGATCAGGATGTGCGTGCAATGTGGCTGGTAAGGGGAGGGTGGTCAGCGGGTAAGCTTGGGGGTTGTCTGCTCTTGCATTAGGTTTGATATGATTTTATTTTTCCATTTGTCTAGGGGAGACTCCTCAATGCTCGCTGCTCTCCCAAGTCTCGGTCTGTCCGCAGACGCCGGTCACCACCGCCTTCCCAGAGACGGGAGGTAAATTCAGAGCCGTGAATTAATGCGGGAGGAATCACTTGAGGAGTAGGGCAAGGGGATAGGCCCTCGCCAAGGCCATTCACAATGTGACAATAGAAGATAAGCACCTTGTGTTTTTTCTTATTATAGCGCTTTGCCAAGTGTACATCTTAAAACAATATATTCCGGTAGTCCCCGCTTTTACGACACGATGCGTTCCTTGAAACCCCGTCGTAAATCAAGTTTCCGCGTAGTAAATTGACCCATGGTGGTATCTGATAAATGTCGTAAATGTGGACCAATATAAACCGGAGGCCGCCTGTATATCTTCCAACGCCGATATGAATAGCCTTGGCAAGAGCGTGTCTCCTTGCCCGGCTCCACTTCTTCTGACTCGTAATTTGTTAATTTCTTCATGCGTTCGCAGCGAAGCCCTCCCATGTCCACGAATCATTTTAATATTATCTGAATGTTATTTTTCTATGAAGGCCTTGGCGTGTATATTGCTTTTATGACTGCATTTGCTTCCACTGAATCGGATGCCGTGATCAATCTACCACTGGATGAAGGCCTCCTCAAGCCATCACCACCTCTCGTGGTCCCTGCTTTGTAACAATCCATCTAGCACCCTGCACAGGAATTGCTTTCATCATCTTATCTCCACAGTGGGCGTCCTCTAGGGCGTAGTTTCCCTCCCCTGGCTTTCACTCCGTCGTTCGTCTCTACCGCTGGTCATCATCCCTTCCGGCGACGTATCGTGAGGCTCACAACGGAGCAGCAGTCAAAAGGAGGGAACACGACCATTGCCGGGATGGAGTGATAAGATCGACGCGTGTGCAGCAGCGATATGGATTGTGGCATAGCAGGATCATGAGTGATGGCAGTGGATAGGTCATGGCTGCGATGATCGTGATAATGTAGTGATCGCCGTGTATGTCCGCGCGTATAATCTCACGTACGTGCGCGTGTATAACTGCGTGTGGTACGTTTGTTTTTGTCTTTTTCATAGTTCAGGGTGACCTTACGTGGCTGGTCAGAGAAAAGAGCACTGATGGTGAGTTGAACATGTAGGCTTTCGCGACCAATAAAGGCACGATCTAACCAAATAAAACGTTATTATTACTGATGGTGGGTATGACCTCGGTACAGCTGCATTGCTTGTGTTTCCCACGTCTCGAAGGCCATGATACACGAGGTCGACGTTAAGGGTAAATGCCGCCAGTGTTCGTTGCCGGCAACGGTTACCGCGACGTTTCCTTTTGTAATAATACAAAACATTCAGTCGTCCAAATATAGACGCGTCTGGTAGCTTGTTCACTCAAGTGGGTAACTGGGATGGCAACGCCCAATCAGATCGCAGAGGCCACGTGATCATCTGAGGTTTGTCTGCCAGCTCTGGACCAGTCGCTCTTTGCTATACGAGGTGCCAAGTTGCCGAAGGAAATTTGTCGACGACGACTGCCATACATTTGGTCAAGTGCAACTTGGCCTTAGAATAGGTGTGGAGAATCCTTTGCCGTGGACAAATATGACTTTCGATTAAACCTTTGGCGAGCCACGCATTAAAACACACACACACCACAGTTACTCACTCCTGTCACTACCAAATGCCCTGCCAGTTACACAAACGCAAGTAACGTGCTAAAATTATAAACACAGTCGAGCCAGGTTAAAAATATTCCCCTCTCGTAGCTGATTAGGGCAGCCAAGATACTTCCCATGACGAATCGATTGAATCTGCGGGCCGTTTCGATGTGATGGGCCTCGCGTTGCCGCAGGACCTTCACCTGATGAAGGCCGCTTGTGTTGTGGCCGAAACGTCGTGAGAATATTATTGTGTTATTTTATTTTATCAATTTATTATTTTATTCTCATTCTACGTGACTTTACCGAAAGAACCAAAGAAGAGGACCTGAGAAGTTCGTTTTTGGGCTGTGTCTGGCCCGTCGATGGCGTGTTCCTCACCCGTGCCTTAAGCGATCTGCACCTGGCTTGCAGGAGCGCATGCCCCACAGGAAGTGCATTGACGTTGAGACGAAGCAATGTCAATGACCAATGTCCGTTATTCAAAAATGACACGAATTGAATCATTGGAGGAAAAGTCTCGCGGGGTAGCGCAAAACCGCATTTCTGCGATGTTTTGGCCAACCCCGTTCGTGACCATTTGTCTTCATGTGGGTGTACGCAGATGCCCGGAGAAATCCCATATGTATGGGGGGGGGGGGGGGGGGGTTACAACTCAGCTCTGCCATCTCCTAGCCACCTTACAGCCCCATGCCTACAGCACCTGGGCAAGCCCCACCGTCATCCATGGAAGCACTGACCAGGCTCAACCCAGCTCAACGTTTCGAGATTTGACGAGATGGGGGTCCACTCGGCGTGGTCATAGGCAGTTTGTCTACGCAAATGTGCATGCGATTTCCATGTTTTGATTTTTTTTATATTCCCATTCATTTAGAACCCCGGAGCCTCGCGACAAGTCGGGACTTCGACCCAGCAACGCCCAACAGCAGCAGCAATAATGGATTTGATCCTGGTACGTACCGACAGCGGACTGGAATTGAGAAGCCCTGATATTTTGGTCTCGAGCAGTTGACGTCAGCAACGATCTTTTCTTAACTGTTGTCCCCAGTGTTCAGCGACAGCCTGACACTGGAGTCCTTGGGAGGAGAGAGCGTTACTCTCTCAGCCACCGAGCAAGGTGAGCGTCTCTTGGTGAAATCCCACACACCGTTTGGAGGCTGGACGCAACTCTGATGCCATCGCCAGAAATACGAGTAACCTGTGACCACAGCGCCGCACACGGTATGCACGGGTCGCCGACTCGGCTGATATGAATCCCTCCCCGTGACGCACCCCGCCCCCCCCCCCTCCCCTCCCCAGAGCTGGCAAACGAAGTGATGCACGCGCTGTCTCTGGAAGCTACCACCGCCACGACGGGCCCCGACTACGACATTCTGAGCTTTTCCGAGTTGCTGGGGCTGGGTCGTGAGCACGCGTGGGAGGCCCTGCAGGAGGCCGGCGGCTGGGACGTGCGCCGTCAAGTCACCGCGCTCGTGTGCGCCTTCCTGAAGGCCACGGGCGGGGACGCCCAGAGGCTCCGTAACAAGCTGCATCAGGCCCATCGCTCATGTAAGGCAGCGAGCGGCGGCGTCGTCACGAATGCACGTGCACGGCCACTTTTGCCAATCGACTGCCGGATGAGGGCCCCCTCCCTGTGGCGCTCGGGTCGTGGGGGTCATTTGGCCATGCTTGGAACGCGCTGGTCAGTGCGGATTAACGAAGGACGTCGCTTTTCGCACTCGCAGGGTGAGCGAAAAATGCAGTGCCTCCCGGTCACTCGGATGGCAGAGCGCTGAGGCGGGTACCGCTGACATCGAAACCCAATTTCATTTGTCGCCTGTTATTTAAACCAGGTTCTCGAGTGTAGTGAAATGGTCTCGGCTACGTCGCCGGTGATGGAGTGAAAACAAAACCTTTGCTTCTGCACTTAATTTAAAATGTCGACGCGAGTGTCACGACCAAAACGCGGCGTTGTTCCTCGTTCCCCTTGGCCTTGAGCCACCGAGTTGCCATTTACACTTCTCCTGCGAGAAAACTTGTGGTTTCGTCACGCGCAACATTTTTGACGACCCCACGCATTATCAGAAAGAAAAAAAAAACCCCGCCAAAAATAAATGTACCAAAAAAATGCTCAAAAAACAACAAACCACCCACGGGTCGCCCTTGAATTTTCTAACGCAACCACGAACGACCTCGCTCGCGGCCCCTCCCCCCGCCACGACAGGGTTCCTCGTCTCCGAACGCGGCGTCTGCCTCATGAACCTCATCTCGAAGGCGCACCAGGCCTTCCGGGCGGCCACCGACGCGACGGAGGGCGTCCGGGAAGCGCTCCGCCTGCTCGCGATCGTGCTGCACGACTGCGCCCTCGCCCTCGCCCCCGACGAGGAGCTCCTCCTCCCCGACGCCGCCGCCCGCCTCCCTCCGCCGAGCGTCGAGCGGTGCCTGCGGCGCGTCGCGGAGACGGTGCCCTTCCACCGGGAGGGCGCGGACGAGCTGCTCGGCGACCTGGGCGACCCGGACGAGGCCTTTCTGGAGCAGGCCTCGATGCTGGCGGCGCAGCTGGTGCGCGAGCTGTTCAAGGTCGGCTCGGAGAGAGGCTCCCAGTACGGGCTGCACGTGCGCGCCCGGGACGCGTACGCGTGCACGCCGCATTCACTCTGGGGCGTCACCGGGTTTGCCGGTAAGACTCGTGCATGCGCTGGTGGGCGGGGGTAATGACGCGCGGCGAATGCCGCCTCGTTCGGGTCGCTGTTACGCCGGTTCGTTCGCAGCGACAAGCACCGGCCGAAGACGAGGACCTGCGTTGGTTTATGGTCAGGTCTTTTGGTGGAATTGATTGTTCGAGCTGCTTCATTTCATCTCGTCGATCGCGCTTCGTTCTTTGTTTGGGGTATTGCAGTCATCGCATCTGACGCTTTTGTTTTGTTGGCAAACAAAACGAAAAATCACCCCTCGCTTTCTCAACAAATATTACCATCGCGTATTTTGTTAACAACGCCACTGACAGTGCCGGTGTTTTATGCTCCCTGATCGTGGTTGAGAAGGACTCAGTCCGCTGGTGGTAAAGAAGCTGTGCAGAGAGCAGCAGAGCGAGAACCACGAGGAGCTGCGTGCGTCGCTGCGCAGGATTCTGGCGCGAACCTCGCAAAGCCCGGCGGACAACCCCCTGGGCGGCGGCGGCGGCGGCGTCGGCGTCGTGCCGGACGTCCAAATGGACGTCGACTCGTTGCTCCGCTGCGGCCGCTTCGACGCGCGGCTGAGCGCCCGCGTGAGGTGGGCGCTGGAACCCGACGCCGAGCGGCGGGGCCCCGCGCTGCCGCTGCACGCCCAGACGCTCGCCGACCTCCTGGAGTACGCGCGCCGCAGCGAGCGCCACTCCTTCGCCTTCCGCGTGGAGCGCGTGACGATGCTGGGCGGGCGCGGGCGCTCGCTGTGCGGCGTGCGCAGCGCGGGCCCCCTGGTGCGGATCGACGGCGCCATGGAGGAGACGGTGGGCTTCCTGACGAGCGAGCCGGCCGCGTTCCTCGCGAGCGTGCGGTGCGCGTACGTGCACGACGGGGAGGCGTACGAGTGCGCCGAGCCGCGCGTCTGCAAGGTGGCGTTTCCGCGGGCGTCTTCCGCCGCGACCGCCGCCCCGCCGCGAGTCGACCTCGCGGACGCGGTGTCCTCGGGAGAGGTCGTGGCGGAGAGCCCCAACGCCGTTTGGATCCGCGCGCGGGAAGGCGTCGCCTTCGAGAGCGTCGTCGGCGACGTCAAAGCCGCCCTTGCTTCGTCTTCCGAGCCGTTCGGCGTGGAAACGGAGGGGTTCTGTTTCCGGGTGGAGGCGCACGAGAGGGAGAGTCAAGTCAGGTTATTCTTTGACGGAAATGGGATTCGTGCAGAAAGCACCAACGGAGCCGTGGTGAAAACGTGACGGTGTTTTTTTGCCGTTGTTCGCAACTGAGAGGTAAAGGTGTTGCCCAGCAATTGCTTGCCGATGCCACTGCCAGCAGAAGGGCCTCCACTAAAGGTCACTGGAGAGCCTTCTCCCTCCAAGAGGGACTTTGGCTTACTCTTCCACACCCGTCATCTCGGGAAGTGGTGGGTGTCTCCAAATGTTTTCCCCCTCCACACGCGGCCTGCCGAACGACTTCACTGCGATGCACCCAATTTACTGCACCGTTGTGGGTGGAGAGAGGCGGGAGATAAAAAAAAAACTTGAACCATTGTTTAAACTGTCGTGCTCAAGTCATCCTGCTATGAGCAGCAGTGGGGCCAAAAGGGTTATTATTATATTCTTCGTTCTTTCGGTAAAGTCACGTAGAAGGGAAACAATAAAATTTTAAAACAATAAAATTCTCACGAAGTTTCGACTGCAACACAAGCAATCATCATCAGGTGTGAAAACCACAGCAAGAAAATTTGAAAAAAGTGGCGTTTTTTTTAACGTTAGCACCACGGAGAGCGATTTGGCAGTTATTCAGGTGGACGAGTCCATCAATGTTCGGAAAAGAGGAGGGGGGAGACGAAAATAATGGATGCGGTCTGAAAACCACCGTAAGCGTGAACAATCAATTAAGACCCGAAATGGTTTTATCAGCGTTATTATTGTTATAAATGGTGCACGTGTGGATGAGCCTGGAATTTTTTTTCTTTTTTTATATTTATTAATGTCTGTCTGAGCCACTTTTGATTCTTTCAGCCTGTTGCTACGTCTGCGTGTGCATAAGTAAACACGTGCCATACAGTGGACTGCCTTTAGCTTGTCTGTGCATGTTGTATTACGAGTATCTTTTAAAATATATTTTAACTTTAAATGTGCTTGTATATAATGCGAGTGCGTCGCTCTCCGAAGTGTTTCCATGCTGTGTCACGTATTCTGCGGTACGATGTCCGACGCTTCGCTCCAACTTGCTTGTGAGCTTCTTCAGGAACTGAAAACCTATGCAAAAGTAATGCAAGTGTAGTTTGATTTTAGATATTTGCTTGTTCTATTTTAATGATTCGTCCTGCCAAACCACTAACGGTCTACAATGAGTTGGTTTCCTCTGTGCCCCGCGCCTTGCCTCCTGCCTAAAAACACAACCGAGCCGCGCTGGTGCAACGCTGAGCCAGCCTGGCGTGGCTCGGGAGGCACTCGGAGGTCGTTTTTCCACTGCAGAAGCCGAGCCGTGCCACCGACGTCAAACGCGGCGATTTTGTGGGGGGGGGGGGGGGGGGGGGGGGGGTGAGAAGCCGAGAGATGAAACGGGTGACTCTGTGTTCTCGCAATTCACTGGCTGAGGCAACACACACTGAATCCGTCGTTTGTCCCACCCCTGGCCCTGCTTGGCCCCGAGCCAGATCCATGTTTGGTTCCGGCTTTGGCATGGCAATTAACCAGTGGGAAAACCCGCTCATATCGTGAGGGCCCCCGTAAAGGCCTTTGCTCAGATGCGCCAGTGGAAAAGCGGATTAGCGACCGTGATATTTGACCAATGAGCTAAATAAATAACATCCCAATTGTTTTTATTTTTTTACTTGCCGATTCGCATATACATTTGAACACATTGATGGTAAATGGGGGTTTGCATTTAATGTTTAAACGTTTGTAGCAAACAATCGTTTCAAACATGAAACTAAGAAAACAATGTGCTATATATATACACGTTTGTGACAAATAAATTAAGGTTTTTAAAGTGATGCGTGCTTGTCCATAATTTGTCCATAGCACGAGGTATTACCTTTTAAATTACCCATACACCTACAAAACGCGTTCCTGGATTCAAATCCTGATATCAGTCACCGAGTTCATGTCTGCGCCCGGCTACCAATGATAATAGGCTTTCAATTTATTTAAAGCCGTTCAAATCATTGCATGTACACTTGGTGTTGGTGCCATTCTCTCAAGAGCACAAAGCTGTCACTGTGGGACTCTTGACACAGTTTGCAGTCGGGGACGACGACTGCCGTGCGTTCTCCCAATTGAGTAATTGCAGGTAATGTTTCAACGTTGGCAAATGTGCACTATTTAAACTATTCAACAATTTATTTTTCTTACCAGGTAAATTTCCAACGTTGGCAAATTTGCGCTATTGAAACTATTCAACAAATAGTTTTTATTAACTCCAGGTAATGTTTCAACATTGGCAAATTTGCGCTATTGAAACTATCAACAATTTTAATAATAACAGGTAATGTTTCAACGTTTGGCAAATTGTAACTATTCAATAATGTTTGTTTATTAATACCAGGTAATGCCCACCCAGAGCTGCGTAGCTCTTTTTCAGAAGCGACCTGGCCACAAATTGGAGCTCAACGAAGTGGCTTATCGCGTGGAAATCAGATAGCAGCCAAAAACACTCTAAAACCCGGAGAAATATCCACGCAACCACGAGAAACATGCAAATATACCGCAGGCGTCGGGATTGAACCCACGTCCTCCTGTATACCAAGCGAGGTAGTTAACATCTCGCCACCGCGGTGAAATGTTACCTACGACGCCGGAAAACACGGCCTGTTTTTCAAATAACGCCACGGGATATTTAACGCCCACTGAAGCAGACGGCCCCTGTCCATGGACCATACACCCGCAGCCTTATCCTTTTTACGACTCGGCACACACCACAAGCAGACCACAAGTCCATGAACTGGACTGCACATCTCTCTATACGCTGTGCGTTGGTGGGGGAGCGAGGGAGGGGGTGTAACCTTGAGACTCGAATATTTTACGCCCGAGTAATATCAACCACAATGGCTTGCACAATGGATAAACGACTCGTCAGTCGGGTCAATGCAGAAGTGGAAACGTGCAAGTGGTTGTCACGTGGTGTGTGGCATGCCACTCGCGTACCTGTCAACAACCTGAGCAGTGCCCGAACTTATTACAGGCCAATTCAGACCTTACTGGTCACACCGTGCCCCTTATAAATCTCAACGTTTATCCTACAACGTCCCATCACAAGGGAGAATCACAAAAACAAATCGACAATCACCACGACTACGGGGGCCGTCCATAAATGACGTCACACCTAGGGGGGGAGGGGGGGTCAGACATTTGTGACGATGTGTGACGAGGAGGGGAGGGGGGGGGTTTGAGAAATGTGACGTCACATCAAAATGCGCAACTTTAAATAAATATAGACAACACGTTCTACTTAATTAGACTTTTAAATAAATGTTTTCTCCTACAACGTCAGAGTGCAGCGCCACATTAAATACGCACTACAGTGACAGTAGTTTAAAGCGATTTGAAGCACTTTTTTTGGGGGGGGGTGGGAGAGCTTTGTGACGTCATATTTGTGGGGGGGGGGCTGACTTTTTGTGACGCCGTGTGATGAGGGGGGGGGGTCAAAAATCGGCCAAAATCGCGTGACGTCATTTATGGACGGCCCCTAATTCCGTTCACAAAATCGACATGGCTACAGGGCAGAATGGTAAAGTGCTGCCACCTAGCGCTGAATCATGCTTCACGCTTCACGCTACATCGGGCATTGTGCGATGTTGGTCATGATGTATGTACAGTCCTCTACGTTGAACTTCTTTCGCACCGTACGTAGCCAACCGTGCTAATCGGAGATGCGATTAATGGGCCAATAGGTGTCGGCCTATTTGCGTGTCAGCCTATTAGCCTATGATCCCGTTACTTAGGTCACAAATGAAGCCAGCTCCGCTGTTAGTGCACAGATCAAATCAGATGTTGGTACCATTATAAGGTAATACCGATGGATTTTGTATGGCTAAATAATCGTAAAATGATGTGACATTCCACGTACGTAGCAAAACTGTGCTTATCATCAACCGTGCGAGCCAACATCGTCATCCATGACAAATCCACTGCTGGATGAAGGCCTCCCACAAATTGTCGCCATCTCTCGCCAACCCTGCTATGGACTCAATCGTCTCTGTAGCACCTCCACGCAGTGCCGGATTATCCTCGTAGCAAAAGTAGCTGCTACACGTGTAGTAGCTACACGTGTAGTAGCTACACGTGTAGTAGCTACACGTGTAGTAGCTACACGTGTAGTAGCTACACGTGTAGTAGCTACACGTGTAGTACACGTGTAGTAGCTACACGTGTAGTAGCTACGGGCCCCGCACTTTCAAGGGCCCCGCGCTAAATGCTTTCAAGCTATCAATTCCGGTTCAGTGATTCTGCACTTGCTCTATTACTATAGTACTATACCGCCTTCAACTTTTATGAACGACTTGGTGTTTAAGGTTAGCGATTTGGCCGTATAGCAAATGAAAAAAAAACACAATTACTTTACTATGCAAGTAAAAAATTGTGTTTTAATATTTACGTGTTTTTTAAAAAATTTAGAGCCCCTTTATAAGATCATGCTACAGGCCCCGCACGAGCTTCATCATGCACCGCCAGGTTATTTCGCTGCTCCATCTCTCCCCCTGGGCGGTATTTCTCTCTCTCACACGCACCCCGTGGCCTCGGTAATGTTACTAATAGATGCCAGCTCGAGTCACAAGATGAAGAAGCCATCTCCGCTGTTAAGTCCATGGCCCAGAGCGGGTATCGGTGCAATTCAAAGGTAATACCGATTGATTTTGCGTGGCTGAATAATGCGAGACGATTTGACATTCCGCTTATTTCACGCGGTTATCGCACGATTCGCCCTTTTTGGCCGCATAAAGAAACTGGAACCACCGGGTGTGGCGGGCATGCTCGTGTCACGCGGTGCCGATAGGCCAAGTCGCGTCCGGTCTGGGGCTTCATGGACCGCGCGGATGGTGGAGGAGTGGGGCGCGCTGGCTCAGGGGCTGCTGAATGGGCGTCGCATTCGCGCGCTGCACTACGAAACCGATACCCGAATTCAATTCCTGGCCACGGCTAAACCAGTGGGCGAGTGACAGCTGAACCGGTTAATGCCCACTCACCCGCCTACCACTCACCACTCATTTCACCAATCCACACTAACCCAGTGTTTCAGTTTATTTATTTTGGTATAGCCCTGTGAGCCATTCGGCTCTTGAATCGGGTGCAACCACAACAAACAAAAAACATGAACACGAAAACATCTTAAAGTGACTGACTGTGCAAAAAGTATGGTCAAGCAAACACCGCGTGACCGACACGGCGTGGCTGCGAGGCCTTCACTAGCGAAAGGGTATCAATTATTCTTCCAGCGGAGTGTATGTACTTATTACGGCGAAGCTGTGCAACTATGTTTTGGGAAGGTTGGGGCGCTTGGTGTGGCTTCGAATGTGGGAGGGATAGAGGGAGTGTTGGAGGGAGAGCGATGGAGTGTGGGAGGGTTGGAGGGAGAGCGATGGAGTGTGGGAGGGTTGGAGGGAGGTAACGGGGCATAGACGGGTGGAGAGAAATTGTAAAGCGGCTTTCATCTCTCACTCCGACCCACCCCCAGCACACACACACATCACATACACGCACACACATCACATACACACACATCATATGCACACCCACATAACACACACGCACCAAACACCACCCCACTTATCCAATAGCGTTGGCTGGTGACTCCATTTAAATAGAAAAAAGCTGACCCGGGGCTCCGTTCTTCCTCCTTGCGCGCCACTTCCCGAGCGCCAGGAGCAGGCTGATCAGCTTTCCTCCTCGTTCTACGCCGCCACTCTGAACGCCATGGGCTGTTCTCACAGCACACGCGTGCATCACAGCAACGGGAGGCCCAGGGCCGCTCCGTCGGCTCTCAGAGCGTGGCTCCCATCACGGGGTAAGGCGTCCAGTGCAAGCCGCTTTGTCAAATCTACTGCAGGATGAAAGGCGCCGTGTCGCGCTGATGTGCGGTTGTTTTGCCATGCCCCGCCACGCTGCTCTGTGTCGTGACTCGGAGATGTTAACTACCTCGCCTGGTATACAGGAGGTCGCGGGTTCGATCCCGACGCTGACGTCTGTATATTTGGAGTTTGCGTGTTCTCTGCGTACCAATGTTAAACTGCGTACGAACGCAGACAGAAAGCGGTCCCCATCAGTGTGAACAAATTAATTTGGGGTATCCGGTAAAACATTTTTTTCGCTTGAATGTTTTTTTTAATCGACTTTCGTGTCGCACCCCATGCCAGGCGAATTACCTGGTGACAGGTAATCGTGATTGTACGCGTTTAGCACAAGACATGACGTTCAGCAATGTGGCACTTCAGCCTGAGAGCCTCCCGATGAGTTGAAATCGATTAACCTCCAGGCGTAATTGTTAGGAGTTATTTTTGCATATTTTTAAGCATTGGCTGTACAGATGCCAACATTAAACGTTTACAGATATACTGTAATACACTTCGGATTTGGACGTAGGCATTGCAATATTGGAAAAGGAAGCATATTTTACTTACACTACCTCTCTGACCTCTTTTATGTGCTGTGACGAAGGCTCTTTTTTGCCAATCAGAATGATTTTCGGTACTGATTATTGAAACTTGGGTTCGTTCATAATCTCAGCGTTGATCATCATAATCATTGTCACGCTGCATTCTGAAAATGTGATGCCACCCATTTGCGTCCCAGCTACAATATTGTGTGAGCGTTCAAGTGTGGTGGGGGGGGAGTATATTTTTGTATAGGAAATAGAGTTTAAAGTTTGGATTGGAGTTGGGCAGAGGTTATTTTCTCACTCGTAAAATTCCAGAACGATCCTAGAGTGGCTGGTCGTAGTACGGATTATTGGTGTAAGGCACTACAACTAGAGTACCAGATACCACCGATCCATAATCCTATATTGTGCCCTGGATTTAGACTGTCTTGCAAACAGATTCATGACAATCATGAGGATAAAATAAGTCGAGATGTATGTGAATATCTGTCCCGACAGTTCCGGAGGAGGTTAATCACTAGAATTAGGGCTTGGGCAGCTCAGAGGCGACATTGCTAGAGCCGAATGCACGTTCAAGGATCACACGGATTTCTCCTCTGTCGCCCGCTGCTCGCGAAAGTTGGTTGGCGTGTCTCACGTCCTCTGAACGCGGTGGAACTCCAGCAACACCCTGGTGGAGAGGCAGTGGATGTCCCAAATCAGAACATTGCTTTGGAACGTTTCATACTTTTACAAGCATAGACTTGGCCGTGCCCGTTACCTCCCGGTTAGCACGGTTGGCTACGTACGGTTCGAATGAAGTTCAATATACATCCATACATTTTTCGGTGCCAAAGTTCAGCTTCCTAGATATGCACTCGAGCGAGCGAGAGAGTGCGCGTGCATGAACGATGGGGGCGATTTGGGTTATCGTCGTGTTTGTAAGCCTCGCTTGAGATTCCCACTTGGGGACTTGCAACTCCGCCCTTTGCTTGACACACAACGGCGAGGGTTTGTCGAGGGCCCTCCGCGTCGCTCTCCGCGTCCACAACAGCTTGTCGCGTCGGGTTTACGACCAATACCAATCCATAATAGGGGTTGTTTTGGGTTAGATCGGGTTTTTACGCGATATAACCCCCCCCAAAAAAACAGGTTTCGGTGCCAAAGTTCAGCTTCCTAGATATGTACTCGAACGAGAGAAGAGGGTGCTGTGTGTGTGTGTGAATGATGCGGGCGATTTGGGTTATCGGCGTGTTGCTTGATATTCCCACTCGGGGACCTTCGCGTTTTACGTGATCTCCCGATCTAACCCCCCCACCACCCAAAAAAAAAACCTGTGTTATGATTGTAGCGTTGGCGTTGCAGAGTATATTGCAGCGCCGACATGTCCCGTTTGGAGTGCCCGTTAACATACGTGATCAAATTCCTGTAGATTAATATAACATTTTTGTTATACGTTGATATTTCATTTAAATAATGTTATTTTATTTAATGCAGGAAAGTCTCACTTTGTCAGGATAGTTCGACATTGGGTTATTTGTCGAATAGCACCTCCGATTAGCACGGTTGGCTACGTACGGTGCGAAAGAAGTTCAAATGTACGTACAAAGAATGGGTATTTGGCTTTGTGTTGGAGAAAAACAGGGAACCTGGAGTGACAGTCAACGCTGCCACCACACCTCCGAATGCCGTTTGAAAAAAATCGGCTACAATTGCATATTTAGTGTTGCGAGCCATTCCGCGGCAGCATCCGGGGTAGTAGCTGTGTGGAGTCGCCTGCTTGTTCCACCAGAACACGCGTGCTGTACTGGGGTAGCTGAGCTGAGTGGAGTGGTCCGCTTGTTCCATCAGAACAAGCGTGCTGTACTGGGGTAGCTGAGTGGAGTAGCCTGCTTGTTCCACCAGAACACACGTGCTGTACTGGGATAGCTGAGCTGAGTGGAGTAGCCTGCTTGTTCCACCAGAACACGCGTGCTGTACTGGGGTAGCTGAGCTGAGTGGAGTGGTCCGCTTGTTCCATGAGAACAAGCGTGCTGTACTGGGGTAGCTGAGTGGAGTAGCCTGCTTGTTCCACCAGAACACGCGTGCTGTACTGGGATAGCTGAGCTGAGTGGAGTAGCCTGCTTGTTCCACCAGAACACGCGTGCTGTACTGGGGTAGCTGAGCTGAGTGGAGTGGTCCGCTTGTTCCATCAGAACAAGCGTGCTGTACTGGGGTAGCTGAGTGGAGTAGCCTGCTTGTTCCATCAGAACACGCGTGGTTGTATTGGGGCTATCATCAGTGACGCACACCAGATGACTTTCACCTCACCTAAACAGACTTTTAAAGCAAGTGCTGTTAGCGAGCACCTATGAAGGCCGGCACGGCACAAGAGGGGGTGGGTGGCCAGCACCACGCCCTAGTGACGATGCTTACACACCGCACCAGGTACTCATTTGAGGCTGAGTCGACCTAGGGGAGGCCTAGAACCGGTTCAGATCATCGTCACCGCTGTTGGCCGCGAGCGGGAATCGAACTCGGGTCGCCGGGGTTTGGAGCGCAGCGCAGCGTGCTAACCGCCACACCACCGCTCTCCCACACCACAAAAAAGACAAAGACGAAGATCCCCCGTATAGCCTTAACAGACTGTAGGGACAAGTGCTGTTAGCGAGCACCTATGAAGGCCGGAACGGTACACGAGGGGGTGGGTGGCCAGCACCACGTCCGACCGCCTTTGTCTCCCTAGTGGCGATGTTTACACACCGCACCAGGTACTCATTTGAGGCTGAGTCGACCTAGGGGAGGCCCAGGACCGGTTCATAAAATCGTCACTGGGTGTTGGCCGTGAGCGAGAATCGAACTCGGGTGGCCGGGGTTGGTAGCGCAGCGCGCTGACCGCTACACCACCGCTCCCCGCGTGGGAGACGGCGATCTGCCTGCGCAGTGCCCCCAGTCGCCATGGAATGATCATTGCTGACCGCCCCCAGCCCACTCCACCCCCCACGATCAGACAGATTCTGGCTTCCCGCTCGCCGCGCTCGCCGTAACTCGAGCGAAGATGGGGGGGGGTGGGGGGGGGTGACTTGGCACAAAGAGCGGCGGCTGGACCAGAACACCCCCCCCCACACCCCCACTGTGTTCTCTCAGTCGCGGTAGAGAGAGAGTGGGGGGTGAGTCGCATTGAGAGACCCTCCACGATCGCATTAATCGCTCCATCCACTTCCACGCCCCCCCCAGCACCACCAACTCCCCCCCCTCCATCTCTCTCTCCTGCGTGCTCCGCCAACTCACAGCGAGCGGTGGCCGAGCGTTGTTGTGCCAAGCGTCCCGGAGCAACGAATAAAATCCACCCCGCCACCCGCACCACCACCACCACCACCGTCCCCGCACACGGCACAATCGCAGGGAGGTGCTGCATGAGCGTTGTGGTTCGCACCGGGCGTGCAAATCCATATTTTCGCCGGTTCGATCTCCCAGCGCGGCAGTTTGTGAAAGTTGCTTGAATCTCTCCCCCCCCCACACACACCCCTGTCCAGTCTACAAGGTGGCCCTCGCTTCATGCGGGTTCGGTTTGTGCGGCTGAACTGTTTCTACCCAAAATCCGGTACACGGTGCGAGCTGAGTTCACTCTGCACGCGGCTACGCGGTCGGACGTGGGATAACATTGTGTACTGTGCTCGCATAATGGACATGCAAAAAGTACGTTGCCTCATTACTCCCCCCCCCCCCCCCCCCCCCCCCACATTGCGCAAGAAGAAGTCACCACATCTACGCCTCTACGTAAGGAACACAACAGGTGGAGGACTTCTCCACAAATGTGGCTGTGGCCTGATGAAGCTAGCTGTAATTACTGGAGAAACGTCGTACTCGGATTGTAAATGTTGTGGCTTGGCTCTTCAACACACCGGTTAGTGCTGTACTAGTGACGAATTGGCCACGTTCTGTTTACGTGACAACCCTTACTAGTTGGCTGTGTCGGGTGGTCGCGGGTTTTAACGACACATTTATTTATTTACGTGCTCTAACCCAAAAACAAGATGTACTGTGGACGAACAATCCATTTGTCTACGCTGACCTCTCTTCTGCCCACAATGTGACAAGTACATAGCGCTGGTGGCCCATCCAACCACTCTCCGGGCTCAACCCCGCTGAGCCCCCCGAAATTTGACGTGCGCGCGTATCACGTAGGCACACGTATTTCAATATGTGTAGATAGCAAAGGCAAAGATCCCCCGTATAGCCTTGACGGGCTGGCGGGGAAAGTGCTGTTAGCGAGCAGCACGTATGAAGGCTGGAACGGTACACAAGGGGTTGGGTGGCCAGCACCACGCCCGACCGCCTTTGTCTCCCCAGTGGCGATGTTTACACACCGCACCAGGTACTCATTTGAGGCTGAGTCAACCTAGGGGAGGCCCAGGATCGATTCGGATAATCGTCACTGGCGTTGGCGGTGAGCGGGAATCGAACTCGGGCCACCGGGTTCGCAGTGCAGCGCGCTAGCCGCGACGCCCCCGCATCCCCACTACATCGATGTGCCCTTACTGACACCTCGTCTCTTGCAATGCGCACGCCCGCAGATCTATTGACGGAACGTTCGCGCGAAGAAAACCTCGACCTCGAATCGACCGAGTCCAAGGTGGCACAACGAGAACAACAACATCAACGACGACCCGGCCCGGACGAGACCCTTGCGGACGTTTGCGCGGCCGATTCCGAGACGGACGGATCGCCGCCGCCGCTGCCGCCGCCGCCCCCCTTGCCGGCAGTCGGTCCCTCCGCAGGCACCGAGCCTCGCGCCTCTGTGGCTGCCGACGGCCGCTCGTCCGCCGGGGACGACGACGCGAACCTTCGCTCGGACACGATGGGGCGCGACGTCGTGCGGCCCGCGTCGGCGGAGGACCTCCACGGCATTCCCGACCGGGGCGGTCCGCTCCCCGTGGGTCGCTCCCGAGGTTTGTCGGACGACCCGCTGCCGGAGTTAGTGGCGGGCGACGGGAATCCACGGGCAGGGCTCGCGCAGAGCGGAGGGAACGCGGAGGCGGGCGAGGCGGACCCCCCGGCCGTCGCTTCGCCGCAAGCGGAGAGCCTGGCGGGAGCGGCGGCGGCGGCGGCGTCTTCGTCGTCGTCCTCGTTGTGCGCCGGAGACGCGGCCGACGGAGTCGAGGCGGGAGAGGGCCGCGTGCCGGAGTCGGCCACGCCGGGTCTCCCCGGGGACACGGCGCCGGCGGACACGGCGCCGGGGGAGGAGGCGGAGACCGCTACGGGCAGCCCTCGTGGCGTCTGTCAAGACTCCTCGTCGGAGGGCAACTGAAAGCATTGTTACGACTGTCGAGTTTGGCGAGAGACGTTTGTCGTTTCGATCACGGCGAAGTAATTCGCCGTGATTACAACTTCTAAATTGCAGGATTTTTTTTTAAATATAGGGACATGGCCCCATACGGACAGCGGGCAAAACTCGTCGAAACGAACGATTGGTTGGCAGATGGCTGAATTTCAATATTTTCCAATCAATTAATGATCACACTCCATTATTTGAAGGCGTTTCTTTGTCCATCGATCCGATTTTTAAATCGAGGAGCTAAAACCAGCCCAAGCACGGTCCGCCCCGCGCAAATGGCCTCCCGGAAGCATAATATTTATTTATAATGGAGGAATCCGATGAGCTATAAAGCTCTTTTACTCACGTGTCCATTAGGGCCACGGGGCCAGGATGTTACACGGGGAGACAGCACCACGGCCGCCACTCCATCTCGTTTCCCCTCCGCACTCGTCGGCCACGATGAATCCACTGCTGGGATGAATGGCTCCCCCACGCCGCTGCCGTCTCTGGCGAGCACTGCTACGTAGCAATGCCCCGAGCACCAGCGCGCTCCATCCCTCCGCGATGGACGTGCCATTGTTGTTGTTCATGACCATTCGCCATCATCCCTTCTTGTGTCGACGACGAGGCCCGCCCGAGTTTTACACAAATAACAATTTCACACGTGCCTTTTTATTACCTATGTACTGTATATATGTTGAACTCCTTTCGCCGCGTACGTAGCCGACCGTGCTGATCGGAGGTGGTCAGTGCTGGTTGGTGGAGGGCCCAGGACAGGATCAGACATCACTTGCCACGTGGCAACACGACCACGTGCTAATCAGACTAAACACAGAAAGTAGTGCAATCTACGTACGGTGAAGCATCTGCTGCTTATGGTTGCGAAAGAAGTGTCGACATTTATATATATACGTACAAAGTGTCCACCTGGTGTGCACATGAAAGGGTGCTCACAGCACGTCTCGATTGTTGGGCTGTGGTAGACATGCACGTGCACCTTCGATGAGCACGGTTGGCTACGTAAGGTGCGATAGAAGTTCAACATACGCACTTACGCAGCCTGTGCGGTCTTAGTCGGGCGTTCGTAGGATCCTACCCAGTCCAATGACTGATTCCCAAGTTGTTTTTGGCCAAACGCAGGGAACTACAAGCCCCGCAAACATTTAAATGGCACTCGGTGCATTGAGGAGGAGCCTGAGAGTCCCTGATGAAGACTGTGTAGCGTGTGTGTCGCGCGTGTGTGTGTAGCGTGCGTGTGTGTGTAGCGTGTGTGTGTAGCGTGCGTGTGTAGCGTGCGTGTGTAGCGTGTGTGTGTGTAGCGTGCGTGTGTGTCGCGCGTGTGTTTGGTGAGCACTTACCAAGGTAGTGTGGCGGTTAGCGCGCTTCGCTCGGCAACCCGAGTTCGATTCCCGCTCACGGCCAACACGAGTGACGATTATCTGAACCGGTCCCGGGCATCCCCTAGGTCGACTCTGCCTCAAATGAGTACCTGGTGCGGTGTTTATTAAACATCGCCACTGGAGAGATAAAGGCGGCCGGGCGCGGTACTGGACAACCCACCCCCTCGTGTGCCGTGCCAGACTTAATAGGTGATCGCTAACAGCATTTGGCCCACTAGTCTGTGAAGGCTATATCGGGGATCTTTGTCTTTGATGAGAACTCATGGCAAAGAAGGCAGCAACAAGGATGAGTAATCATGTTCACTGTGAAGAAGGCTGCCAATGCGATGCCTTTAAACAAAGCTGGAACACTGAATTTTAGTTTGTAGTGGCCCAGTATAGAATGTTGGATGTATAATATCATCAAACAAAAATATATCACGCATTTATATCAGTTTTTTTAACGAGTGCTTGTTAGTGATCCGATTGTGCCTTAGGCCTATAGTATGACAAAAATAACGGAGCCCAAATATTTTTTTCAGAACTACAATCCTAAGTCACGGTTTGTGTTTGCTCGGGTCAAAAGCTCATAGGTTGTACATAGCATCATACGCACGACCATCGGTTCCTGGTTCCTTCCGCACCGTGGACTCAACTCCGTACGACGAGAGCTACTGAATTGGAATGTACGACAGATATTACTCCAAGTGCCGTGACTGACGGAGCGACTCGTCGACGGAGAACGCGAAGTTTATCGCAATGCGTGTAACAGCACTGTAAAGTGACCGCCCTCTATTCACCGCCGGATGACGGCCGGTACGCGGCACCGAACACATAAATAAATGGTGCCAGTAAATAAATAAATAGCGGCTTGAACGCCTCGCTCATGGCAGGGCCCACGGCCGATCATTCATCCGGGCTCAAGCATCCATTATTAACCAGAAGCTACTCGGCCCTGAAACCGACAGATGCGCGGGGCTAATGGCTTCACGTGAAACCACGCACCGGCGAGATCATGATTTTTTCCTTACAAAAGTAGACGGGAAATAACTCGACGCGTCCGTTTTGCAAAAAAAAGAGTAATTTGAATTAAAAAAAACCCAAGCGCCGATATTCTTTGGGTCTTTCGGTAAAGTCACGTAGATGGTTCAAAGTAGTTGTTTTTGTTATTTTTTTGTTATTTTTGTTTTAACCATCTACGTGACTTTACCGAAAGACCCAAAGAATATGAATTCCTGCTGTGACGAAAGCTTTAAGTAAAGATTCCACGCGCCGATTCTATGGAAAACTTCAATTTTGCAACGTGGCCAGCAGCAACAGCAACAAAGTCAGCCTTTGGCCAAACACGGGAGAGAAATTCTAAACCAACAAATTCACGAACCCGTCAAAGCGGCCGCCTCAGCCGAACGGCGGCAAGGTTTTCTCAACCGCTTTGTCGCTCAAGTGGCGAGCCGAGCAGCGCCAAGTGGGCTGTGTGCGTCTGTAGGCGAGTGGAGAGAGAAGGGGAAGGGGTTAGGGGCTAGGGGTGCGTGGGGGTGGGTGGGGGGGGGGGGGGTCTCATATTCACTCTCAAGACTCTCGCATCAAGCGGCGACCTGGAAGAGGACGGTCAGGCGTCACAATGTTATTAGTAGAGACGGGGGGGGGGGGGGGGGACTCGATGGAAAGTTGCGTGGGCTTTTCTTCCTATTATTTACATGCAATTTTTGTTTTCAAAAGGCAGTTGGTTTCGTATGTTCGCGTTACACGCACCACAAGGGTAACACAAAACGCTTCCGCGTGGTTGCGGTGCCGCGTGCGTGTTTTTGGAAACGATCGCGTCGACGTTCTCGCTGCCGGTGAGGCCGTTCTCGATGGCTTCTTAGCGTCGCGCTCCCCCAAGTTGAAGTGAAATGCATGGCTCGCCGATTTCGGCGATCGTGTATACGTGTGCAGTGGCGACTTGAAGAGACACGGTATTGAAGACACGTTCGCTTGACATCAGGCGGAGACCCCCACCGCAACAGCCCCGAGTCTCCCGTGCATCTCCCCCTTACATACCGACCGAGGCCACGCCCCCTTCCCGAACCTTCTCGCTGACTCTGGACGCTCGCTCCACCGGCAGACTCCACCGGCCTCTTCCGTCACCTGACCACAGCCCCCTTCTCGAACATTCCCGTAACCACCAGTCCCTTCGTACTCACAGCTGACTCCCCTGACATTACATCCCGTGTCCACTAGTCCACTCACACTGCAGGCTGACTCCCCTGTCATTACCTCCCGTAGCCACTAGTCCACTCACACCGCATGTAGACTCGACTGTCATTACACGTGTAAGGGTTTAACACGCTAGAGTTTGTGATGCTAAGCTGGTCTGGTCGGCCTGCACGATCGCAATGGTCGCCACAGTGGCGAGATGTTAACTACCTCGCCTGGTATACAGGAGGTCGTGGGTTCGATACCGACCCTGACGCCTGCTGCTGTATATTTGGAGTTTGCATTTTCTCCCAGTGGTCGCGCGCATTTTTCTCCGGGCCCTCCGCCCCCCCCGCCACATGTCGAAACGTGCGTTGAGAGGATTTGGCTACTGCTATTCGATTCCACGCGATAAGCCACTTCTTCGTTGAGCTATCACTTGTGGCCCAGGTTGCTTCTGAGCTACACAGCTCATTGGGCCTTACCTGTTTAAAATAAAAAAAAATAACAACAGTTAAACAGCAAGGTGACATGAACAGCGCAGTTAGTACAGCGGCACGTGCCGAGATTATTAATTATTGGACCGTTATTCGACGAATAGTCCTTACGGGACTGTTCAGGAAAGCCTAAAACGCCGGTCCGAAGGTAAAATACACTCAAAACGAGTGAACGAAAGCCAGCGCGTGGCATCTACACGGCGTGTAGATGCCACGCAGCGTGTAGATGCCACGCCATAACTACACTCGGTCACGCTAAAGCCTTGCCGCATTGCTTCGAGTGTGAATTTACAATCGCCACGCACGAGTGTGTTTCTGCGATGATGCGTGGAGATCGAGTATTCGGATTAATAACGCCGATCGCACTCAGCGATTGGCCAGTACTTAAACTTAAACTCTCCAAAAGCGCAACTCGGCATTGCGGCCTCGATCACCTTTCACCGAATTCTCGCGTAAGATTCAGTTCATTTACGATGCCGATTACGCTGTGAATGAATGTCGCCTGTAAACAGACACACGCGCGTGCGTGTGTGTGTATCGAGCGCGTCAAAAAGTGTACATTTGATAAAGTTTAACTATTTTTCTTTGTCTTAATTATTATTTTTAAACTGATAAAGCGACGTGAAGCTTGATCAATACAAACACAGGCGTACGTCCGCCAGCGTCTATGTAGTGAATGTTTCTACACTTGAACGCTTTGCTGTTTCATCACAGTTTGCACAATAATTTTAACAAGTACTTTAATAATAATAAAATTTACCGATTGGATTGCAATGGCAGCATTTTGAACGCGCGTGTGTGTATTTACTTGTGTCAGCAGTGGTCGGCGCACTGCGCTACGAACCCGGCAAACCGCGTTCGATTCTCGCTCATGATCAACATCCGAACCGGTCTAGGGCTTCACCCCCGCCAGGTCAATTTCCGCGTTAAGTGAGTACACTTGCCCAGTGTGGTACGTCAACGTCAGCATTGAGGAGACAAAGCCGGCCGGGCGTGGTACTGGCCACCCACTCACCTACCTCGTGTGCCGCGCGGGCATTAAAAGTTTGCTCGCTAACAGCCACTCGCCTCAACAGTTTGGTTATCAAGGTCATCGAGTGGATCTTCGTCTCGTATTTACGAGTTCCCGTGGCTTCGGGCGTTCTCTCGCGACGTGAGCGTCGTCCTCTTTAAAAAAAAATATTGCCTGGAAAATGGAGCAAATCGGACGAACAAACCGATTTCATATTTCGAATAGCGCTTGCACAAGTGGCCATCATTCATCATTCAGGCGCTTTGGGGCCACGTTGTGGGCAGTAGCCGGCAGTGCCGCAAAATCCAATCGACCGTCAACCAAGCTGCACTGGCCGGCCTGGTGAGAAGCATGGCCAAATGTCTCGCACGGCCCTTAAGGCGCGGGGAGGGCCTTCGTTCAGCGGTGGATCTCACCAAAACGCTGCTGTGCACGGACGTCTGCGAATGCCACTGCTGTCAACGACATCGCGTGCTTTTTTCAGATGCGCTTCGGCGGCCGTCTGGAACGCTCTCTCCTCCCGATATTAGGAAGCCACTGGAGCTATAGCACTTTTAAAGGATCTCGATTGAAAACGCGTGTCTTTTAGAACTGCTTTTTGTGATGAAGTTTGGTGTCCTTACCCCTCGCCCCGCCCCACACCTCCGATGAGCACGGTTGGCTACGTACGGTGCGAAAGAAGTTCGACATACGTACATACACCATCTTTGGCGTACGGGGAGGTGCGGGATGGCAAGGTAGGTGCCCGTTGTTATCCCTTAGGGCGTTGCGCTGTGCAAAAAAAAATCCTATCGTCGCGCTAAGTCCTCCGCTCGTGAATGTCTGCACCGTTGAGTGTCCGACTCCAGACAAGTCGTGGCAAGTCTCCCCGTGCCCCTCCCCCCGCCCGCCCCAGCGCTCGTAGAGCCGAACAAATCCCCCTTGAGAGATTTGTCAAACGGGAGCAGAGTTAATTTGTCAATGGGCGAGAAAATTTCGTGAAGTCATGTCGCCATTTCTCGGTGCTCTCAAGCTGTGCCGGGTTTGAGGTTGAAGAGGGAGGCCTTGAGGCCAATAAGGAGGGAAGGGCTCAAGTATGTGTGTATTACATTGCAAAAAAACATGTCTTAAGTCATCAAACATGTATTTATTTACCTATGTTGAACTTCTTTCGCACCGTGCGTAGCCAGCCGTGCTAAGCACGGGTGCGAGGCATGACATAAACTCAAAATGCAACACTTAAAAAAAATAGTTTTCAATCTAGGTAAAATTTTACTAAATGTATGCGGGGAAAGGTACATTCCAGTCATCGAACATAAATCACTCAGTACACTCACCCCT